TGCAGTTCCTACTATCTCTAGTGTCCTCCCTTATTATTTTATTAATCACTCCTTAACCAGCAATGCTACCCCACCTCCCTTTCTTTTCCATCTATCTTTTCTGAAAATTGAATAACCCTGGATGTTCAGTTCCCATCCTTGGTCAGCCTTGAGCCAGGTCTCTGTGATCCCAATTATACTGTATGTATTAATAACTGTCTGGACAGTTTATTCATCCACCTTATTACAAATGTTCCTCACATTGAGACAGACCCTTCAGGTTCATTCCTTTTTGACATTTATTACCCTTTTAGAATCATGGTGCAATGTGGCCCTTTTTGATTTGTCTTTGGTTTCTCTGCCTTCTACTTGCACTTTTCCCCTTATTGTCTTTTGTTTCGGTCTCCAATTTACTTCCCTCCTTTCAAATATTACTCAGTATCCTCCCTGAACTCCAAATGATTGTTCATTTTTAAATAAATGAAGCAGCCAATACTCTATTTTACAACTATATAACATTGCCAATTTTGCACCAACATCACATGTATTTGTTTACCGAGCAAGTTCAGTCTTCAGCTTCCCAGTTTCTTCAGTCAGTTGCTGAATGCGTTTGGTATTTGTATCCTTTTCTGATAATAGCTTCTTGTACTCATCAGGATCAGTCTCTTTCTGCTGGCTGATTAATTGCTGAAATGCAAATACAATCACAAAATGACTGTTAGTAACATTCTTTTTGCTACTTTCTACTGTATATAAAGCTTTAATTTTTTAAAGGAATAGTTTCTGGTCTGAACTTGAGTATATAATTACGACTGGCTATATACTTATAGAATGTTAAGTTGAAGACGAGCAAGCAGTTAAATAGCGTTGTTTAGTTCCCAAGAACATGGAGGGATAAGCACAGGGGTAAAAATAAAGGACAAATGGCTATGAAAATAACATGGCTAAAACTAATTTTACCACAGAGGCCTTTCTATGGCAACTGCAAGTCTTAAATTTAAAAAGGTGGCTAGTTTCAGATCAGTTTCATGGAATTAGGAAAAATATTAGTACCAACCACAACAACGAAGTTGAAGGCCTTTGTTACAGGAGCTAAATGCACAGTAACAACTGGAAAGAAACCATCGAGGTTGGAAATTTACTGTGTACATAAAACAAGATGTAAGACACCAGCCCTCCCATCATACCTGAGCACGGGCCTTCCAACGTTTGAGATCCTCATCAAGCAATTTCTTCTCTGCTTGCAACATGCCACTTTTCTCACTAAGTTCAGTATTAGACTCCTGAAGAGGCAGGATATCGGACTCCAGCTTATAAATCTAAAAATTGAACAACATGATAAAGAAATATCAGCCAATACACAAATTGAATATTCAAGATCCACATCTCACTTTAAAAACAAATTTCTCTAAAAATGATCAATTTCAGTATAGTAAAAAGATCAAATCATAATGATGAAGAGTTCAGCTTGTTCTATTCCACAGATTGATTTTGTCACTGGACTAGTAATCCAGAGACCCAGGTAATGTTCTGGCGTTCCAGTCTTGAATCCCAACATAGATTGCAATTCAATAAAAATCTGGAATTAAAAGTCAAATGATGAACGCTATCCACTGCTGTAAAAACCCATCTGGTTCATCAAGATCCTTTACGGAAGGAAACTGTCCTTTCCTGGTTTGGCTTACAAGTAACTCCAAGCTGAGCAATATGTTTGACTCTTAACTACCCTCTGAAATGGCCTGGCAAGCCTTTCAGTTGAATCAATCGGCTGAAAAGGGGAAAAAAAGAATGATTGGAACTGGACATACCACCTGGCAATCACTAAGACACTAAAAACAGCAAATAAATACAAAACGCCTTGTTATCCCTGCCAAGTTCTTCATACTGATATCCAGGGATGAGCGCCAAAATTGGGAGACTAATCAAGCAACTGCCTGACCATCACACTCACTAAATTATATCATACACACACATGGCGGAGGTAGAAGCACGATAGTATACAATTAGGATCATGCTGCCCTTGGAGTTCTCCTGCTGATTTCCACAATGGCTAATGAATCTATACCCCTTAATATCGATCAATGACATGGGGGAAGCACCGAAGGTGCAACAGCACAGAATGTAGGTTGGGTGGAGGGACCACAATGTCCATCACAAAATGGCTCAGGGGCATCACTACAGACCCAGCTGGTTGAGCCTTAAAAGGACATAGCTGCTAGATTGGGTCTGCAGCAGGTGGTAAGTGAAACCAACAGGAGGAAAAAAAACGTACTTCCCCTCATCCTCACCAGTCTGTCCATCACAGATGCATCCATCCAAGACAGTAACCACAAGAGTGGCCAGAGTCCTTGTGGAGACCAAGTCCCACTTGCACATTGAAAACAACCTCCATTGTTATGTGGCACTGTCACCATGCTAAAATGAAGTTCAAACATATCTAGCAACATAAGACAGAGCATCCATGAAGTAGTATAGGCCATCATCAACAGAATTATACATCAATAGAATATGTAACATCATGGTCCTGCACATCCCCCACTCTATTAGTACCATCAAGCCAGGGAATTGATCCTGGTTCAATGGAGAGTGAAGAGTAATGCCAGGAACAGCACCAGACACTTAAATTGAGGTATCAAGCTGGTGATGCTGCAAAACAGCATCAGCAGCAAGCGAGAGACATAGCCAAGCAACTCCCCAACCACAAAATCAGATCTAAGCTCTGAAATCCTGTCACATCAAGATGTCACTAGTGATGACCAATTGAACAACACACTCCAGGCAGCTTCACAAACAACCCCATCCTCAATAAATGGGCAAACCCAGCACACCAGTGCAAAAGATAAGGATCAAACATTTGCAGCAATCTTCAGACGGAAGTGTTGACCAAATGATCCATCTTGGCCTCCTTGAGATGTCGTCAATCCATTCGATTCATATCATGTGACACCAAGAAATGATTGGAAGCACAGGACATTACAAGATCTAAGGACCCTGACAACATTCTGGCAATAGTATCGAAGATTACAGCTCCAGAAACTGCCTCGCCCCTAGCAAGCAATTCCAGTACAGCTACAATACTGGCACATATCTGACCATTTTGAAGAGAGGTTGTAAGGCAGAGATACCAAACTGTTTACTGAAGATGACTTCAGTAAACAACTTGAGGCCTTGGGTTTTTTTTTCAAAACAAGTAGTTGGAACAATGGAAGCAGCTTGGGTGTGGCTAGCTCTCACAGACCACGCTTTCTAGTTTTTTAAGCATTAAGCAGAACTCTTTGGGGTCTCAAAAAAGTTGGAATTTTCAGTGAATGATTCCTAGCTGCTATTCTCTCGATTTTTTATCCTCCTGGATTGGAGAACTGCATCCAAGAATCTGTCTGAATTTGCCTTTTGCCAAGGGGTGTGTTTATGGAATGTTACTATACTGGAATAGTTAGTTACTGCATCTATTATTCGGTTAAGTTTTCTAATAGTTAATAAATTGTGTTTTGCTTAACGTCGAGTAGTTTGACCAGTCGCATCGCATCTGAAGCACAGCACTTCACATCTACCTTTAAAATAAAAAAGTTAGGACTGATGCTAACTACTTAAAAATATTTCGAGGGGGCCTGGTCCAGTCCATTAAAAGGAAGGAGGGAAAAGAAAAGGAAGAAGAAGAATGATGTTCAAACAAACATTGCCATCATCTTACAGCTTTTTATTAAAACTCTTAATCTCAAAATTACCTGTTGAAATTCCTCCACAAATTCTGCATGATAAAATGTACTTTAAACAAGAAGGAGTACAGACCTTTGCCCGTGACTGTTGGAGTTCTTGCTCCAACCTTTCTTTCTCATCCCTCAGCATCTTATTGGTTTCAATGAGAACATTCATAGTTTCAGTCTTCTTCATTAGCTCATCATGTTGTGCCAGCGTTTTGGCGGTTACCTGAAAAGGGATTCAAGCAACAAGTAAATAGCCGATGAACAAATTGCTACTATTGTTAAAAAAAGAGAAAAAAGAAAAATTTAAATTGTACGGTTAGTGTAAATAACTTAATGCATTTAACTGTCTTAGATCTGATGGAATGCGAGTGATGTATTTGTATGAATGCATAATGTAATTTTCAATTAAGTGTATTTGATGTAAAAGGAGCCAAAAATTTATCAACGCCACAAAGGGAAATCTCAGGTGCTCAGTAGCTGCCACCTTCATGGCTTAGAAGCAAGGTTCAAAGGATTTAGTAATTTGGAATTTAGGCCAAACAAATATCTCCAACTTTAGGTCAAGAGCTTTCTAATTAGTTAGTTAAACTAATTTAAGATTCTCAACTTACCTGCACTTTCTCTCTTTCAGAATTTAGACTTTCTTGCACTTCTTTCAATTCTCTCTCCAAATTCTCCACTCGTTGGCGGTACCTCAGTGACTCAACTTGGGCAACTTCAAACCTGGTTTCCGCAATTTCTCTTTCTCGTCGCACAAATCTAGAACAAACACAATTAGAAAGAACACTCAACATCTAAACCCTTCAAATTTTCACATTTTTTGAGCGCCATTAAAAATTTAGTTTTTGTAAATGCGCAATAATTATACCAAATGACTTATAAACATCAATATGTGCTCTAAATTATCTTGGAGGTCCACCAGAGTTGACGGTTCCAACTAAATGTTTAGTGCTACTTAAGGATATCTGTTACAGAATTAGGAGACAGTTTAGCAGTGAGAACTGAAGAACACATGGGGGAGGAATGCATGCAGGAAATTTGATAGGAAGAACATGCAAGTGAGAGGGACCTTTTAGACCCATGGAAAACTTGGCTGCAGATAAAGACACATGAAACTCTATTGACAAGTCAAGTGTAACTAGGCTTATGAGCTTCATGCAAATAGAGTTCAATTGACACGGTTAGGTGTTTCATTCTTGAAGGAAGCGGAAAACCTCAATCTACAAATTTATTAACTTCACAATTCTCCATTATTCACACTTGAAACTTAAAATCAGAAGGATGGATTGTAGCAACAATATTTATCAAAATAAACCCACGATGTACAAAAATATCTTTCAGTTATATACCCCTTGTGTTATAACACTTCTTTTGGAGACATAATTAGCTAGTTAAGTATGACATTCACGAATGATACTTGACAACGATGACGGGTCAGCTAGGAAAGCACGGGAATAGTTAAGTCTGGAAATTACAAAGGAATAAAACTTTGGTAGCAGATAGGCATTTGAGTGGCAGGGTATGACAGAGGAAGCTGTCTTTGGAATGGATATAAAAATGGAATTCAGGATAGAACAGACTAGCAAGGAAATATGCATCCTAGTTCAGCTTCCCTGAGCCAAAGACAAGGGTAGGGAGGGATTTGGAATCATTGGCAAAGATTCATAACTTGTGGTAAGACCTGCGAAAAACAAATTCCGTCTTCCCAAACTTTAAGTGGAGGAAGTAATGTCTCCAAGTCTGGTTGTCAGACAAACAAAAGGTCAAGAGAGGTGAAGTAATAGCTGGAAATCATTTTCATCGATGTGGAATCTCATCAAGAGACACCATTCAGATGGAGGAACAAACTGAATCTTAGTGGGATTTTCTGAGACAGTTGCAGTTAGCTATTGAATTTTGTGACCTTTAGCAACCTGAATCAAAAAACTAAAATAAAACACATCAGCATTCCAATATATTGTCAAATCAAAACAAAAAATATTCAGTGAGAGACGAACAGGCTCACCCATCTTAACTAGGGAGAACCTTCATTTTTAAACAGCAAATAGAAACTGATTTTAAAAATTATAAAAATGCTAAAAATTCTAGTCATGCTTCAGAAATTGTGCAAAGTATTCACATTTCTCACAGCTCTCCTTTTGCAACCATTACTTCTGTTAAGAAAGCTTCTCTAAATAGGATATGAATAATTTGAACAAAAAATAGGTTAAAGGAGTGTGGACATTCTTGATTTATACTGTTGCACATCATTATGATAAAACAGTTACCTCAGAATTTCAAGCAGCTGCTCCTGGGACTTGCCCTCCTCATTAAAAGAAATATTTAAGGAACTCTGACTTGCTTCTTGCACTGTGGTTACCATCTTATTACTAAGGCTCTCCACTTGCTCAAGCAACAGTTTGTTCTGTTTCTGCAGGTCCTCTTTACGTGTCGTCAACTGAGAAATTTCATCCTATTCAAAGGTGTTTTTAAATAAAACATCAAAGATAGTTACCAACAAAAAAAGTTTATTTCATCAGTTTCAATCAACTTAATACACTGTCATTCAATATTATTCTTCATCAAAATGAGACAGTGCTGCATTTACCAGACATGGACCAATCACTGTGGGTTAACCTTATTAGATGAATGCTTGGTTTTTGGTGCAAGATAGGGTAATCATGTTTTATACCATAAATATGAACAAAACCTCATTCTCGGAAGGTGGGTCTTACAGCAAGGCCATTCTTACTGCCGATCCCAAGTTGTCCTTAGTGACTGTAGTACCCATCAAACTGCTGTAATTTATTTTGCAAGCAATGCTGATAGCGTGTTCTAGGAGACTGTGACAATGAAGAAATAGCAATTTATATCATCACGTGCTGGACAGGACTCTATTTCTCGTACCTACTGCTCTTGTTCTTCTGGGTGAGAAGATTGAGGACATGGGTTCTGAAGCTTCAGAGTCACTGCAGAGCCTCCTGCAGATAAGGGGTACTAAAGCTGTTACTTTGGGGTGAGGGAGCCTTCACATATAAATATCAAACCAACTGGTTTTACAGATATTTAAGAACTTTTGAAATACTGGCCCTGTGATAAAGATGGAAAACCAAGAATACTTGATCTCACTTTTTGGCCAGTGAGTTCCAGAAAGAACATCTGCGCAATACTAACACCTCTGAATGTCAAAGGGTAATGGAAGGAGATTATTTCCATTTGAAATAATGGTCATTCCAGACATCTGGCACAAAAGTGATGTGCAACGTTGTAGCTCAAGCTGGATATCCAAATTAGGACCCAGGCAATAATTAGGGCTCAAGCCAACCTCTTTTTAAAAAACGGGCAAAGACAAAGACAAAGACATTCTTGCATCGGACATGTACATCATTGGCAATGTCAATCCATTGCTGCCCATTCCTAACTGCCCATGAATGGAGGGGCTTGCTAGGCTATTTCAGAGATCAGCAAAGAATTGACCACATCTTTGGGAACTGGAGTTACAGGTACGCCTGATCAGATGAGAACTGATCAGCAAATTAAAATGTTTTTTGGGCAATACAAACAAAGGTGACATGTCGTTCATCAGGCTGGTTTTTAATTCCAGATTTGATTGAATTCAAACTTCATCTGCCATAGTGGGATTTAGAACCAAAGGCAAAAAAAAAAACAACACTTTGGTCTGGGGTTCTGGGTTACCAACCTAATGACATAACCACTGCGCCAGTAACACACCCTGATGTTAGCGGAAGTCAAGATCATCATAAACTTGCTTAATGACATTGTGCCTTCCCTAGTGGCACTACTGACCATCGATTTGCTGATGGTGGAATGGAGGTTGATAGAATGTTTACTTGAATTACATTTGATCTTAAGTGGAAAATGCCTTCTTCTCAATTGTTATGTAGATATCAGTGCTGTCACTAGTAAACTGGCTTAGCCTGGTGTTGCTAATTCTGCAACACAAGTAAAATAATCAGGGCCAACAGAGATTGCTATGCACATTGTTTCCTGTGCCACACAGTTGGATTTCGCCATTCCAAAAGTGGCTAAGACCTTGTGGAAGGGAAGGGAAGAAAAGAAATCACATTTTTGGAACACTAGATCAAAGTTAAAAGAAAAGAATGGTTATAACAAATGGAGGAAAACTTCGGCAGACATTAAATTGCACTAACCTGCATGTGAACAGAATATAAATAATAAAAAGAGAGAGGAGTTGAACTCATATGGCAAAGTACTGAGCTAAATTGACATGGGATTATCCAAGGTATGTCAGCAATGATTATAACTATACATTTTCAAAACAAAAAGCAGAAGAATGGAGGTGAGGTTAAGGAGTGATCTTCGAATATGTTCTTCAAATTAGGCAGATGTAGAGATCGGAAATATAATTTCATCTGAACTGCTAAAAATTAAGTTACCTTCAAAATTCTTTCAATATCATCCTTAGCAGTCTTACACTCCAACATCTGTGTTTCAGCCTTCTGAGCAGCATCTTCCAACTTCTGCCGTACTTGAGAGTTCATGGCTACTTGCTCTTTTGCAATCTGCAGTGCTTCCACATCAGCAGCATGCAGCATCAGTTCACGCTCATATTTATTCTGTGCTTCGGAGGCTATCCTTGCCTAGGAAAGCCAAAAAGGCACCCATGAGGTTAACACTGCCACAAAAGTGGTAAATACCTTATTAATTTCACCTAAAACAAACGACAAAATTTTACTTCATAAATATGAAATTCCCATTTTCAAATGTTATGCTGTGTTTGTTTTTACCTTTGGAAATGAAAGGATTACAGTAAAGCAAGACAGCAATCTAACCTGTATGCTCTCTGTATCACTTGCATGTTACATCACTTCAAACGATCAAGTATTCCAAATGGGGTAAGGCTCTCTGCATCCACCATCTTTCCAGACAGCAAATATCCAGGTCCTCTCCAAAATGGGAATAACATTACTCAACTCCTCCGCAATCTTATTAGCAATAATTCTGAACATCAAGTTGCAGCTTATTGATATCCGAAGGAAATAGGTCCATGCTGTGTATTCTGTTTAGGCCACACAATTTTACACTTCAACTAAATCTCTCCTCAGCTTCTGCTGTTCCCTCCATTCTGATCTGATCTTTTCACATAGCTAAAACTCGCTTTTCTTGGCAACATCCCTATTGCAATCAGATCACTCCTATAAAGCAGCAGCTGGAAATGTGCTCTGCATTCAGTTTTGGTGTAGCATTTTATTCATTCTAGTAAATTCTGCTACTTCCTTTGATTGGCCAGGTGCATGCCCTTATCACCTTTTCCACATGCCCTGATACCTTCAGTGTTCTGTGAGCAAGAACTGCGAGGTCCCCCCATTCCTCCACACTTCAGAATCCTTCTGCTGCCTCCCAAATGTCATCTAGAGTTTCTGGAAATGTCATTAATTTGACTCTTTTCTGCTTATTGAGATCTTTTACAGTCTACAGATTTCACACTGTCAGTCAATGTTTAGTAAACAGGCAAAATTCTTGAACATGCCACTTGACATTAAGGCTAAATAATTGATATATACCACAAATAAAAAGATCCAATATTCAAGCCTGTGGAAGCACAATTAACAGTTTCACCAATCATGCATAAGCTTTGTTCCTTGCCAGTGTCATGTCCGAATCCAACACGTCACAACTTCCCTCTGATCCACGAGCTTTTAAATTTGGCATTGCATGCTCTAATGGTGATAATTTTGCCCCTTAAAAAGTGGATCCTCTATCACCTCATATTGTATTAACTGCCATCCATGAACTCTGTGCATTAATTGTCCATCAACAACAAAGAGCAATATGGTTGCACAAACCTGTTCTTGACAGTCAGCTCTGGCTTGCTGTTCATTGGTTGCAGCAGCTGCTGCTCGCTGAACGGCATCCTGAAGTTCAGCCTGGAGACTTTTCAAATTCCTTCTTAGTTCACAAGTCTGCAATTTTTGGAAAAGCAAAACAAAGTCACACAAGTGTTTCAAACCAGTAACTGGATAGCAACAGGCTCAGTTTCTAATAAAGCTGTACGTGTTCAATGAAAACCTCAAGAGCTGCGGATGCTGTAGATTAGAAACAAAAAGAGAAATTGCTTGAAATGCTCAGCAGGTGTGGCAGCATCTGTGAAGAGAAACCACAGTTAATGTTTCAGGTCTGGTGACCCTTCCTCAGAACTGCATTTTTTTTAAGGTTAGGAGGGATGGTGAATACGTGACACGAGGAGAAGTTGGGGGATGGGAGGAAGGTTCCAGAAGGCCATGGGTATCTGAGTTGTTGCATTTTGTGCAACTTGATGTCTGAAAGGCAAAGAAAAGGCACTTCTTAGCACAGCGAATGAGCCAGTGGATAAAGTGGAACTGCGAAGTGGTACTGCCCTGAGCCATCGTGATGCAATGCTGTTGGAGAGAGATCCAGAGAGTGTGTACACAAAAATGCATGGCCTGGAGTGTGGATCTCAGGATGGGGCAAGAGCAGGTGTCTGTGGAACATTGACCATTGTAGAGATATCTGTGATCCTGGGTGGATTCAAAGCACGAGGCATGAAACTGGAATTGGAATCCAAGCCGGAGACAGTCAGAGGAATGTGATGTGGCCGTGGAAACAAGTTTTAGCAAATACCTGGTTAAACAACACCAGAAGCAACAGTGAAATTAACACAGGTGGACAAGAAGAAGAAGATTGGAATGAAAATCCCAGCGACAGGAGCAGAACTTCAAGGTGGGTATGCCCAGAAAAAAAAATGGCAGAGTTAAATACTAAATAAAAACCAGAAAGAACGGTCGAGCCTGTAAATCCAGTTCTCAGGAAGGGTCACCAGACCGGAAACGTTAATTGATTTTTCTTCCACAGATGTTGCCGAGCCTGCTGAGCGTTTCCAGCAATTTCTGTACGTGTTCAATATTTTTGCAAAAAAAAAAAAAAAAAAAAAAAACCAAACAAACATCGAACATGATTATTTGTCCAAGATCTTGCTTGTGGAATCAATCAAGCGATTATTTCATTTTGTGGATGAATTAATTTTTATTCACTTGTAATTTAGTGCTCAATGACCTTACCTGGAAGTTGCACTCACTGGTGGTGTATCCATTTGCAAATGGTCAGAGAACAGACATCCTGCAGGAAGTAACTCACCTCCTGACTCTCTAAAGCCTGACCACTGTCTACAAGGCGCAAGTTAGGTGTAAGATGGAATACTCCCCACTTGCCTGGAATGAGTGCAGCTCATCAAAATTATCTTCCAATGACAAGGGTTACTAGGATTACACATTTGACATCTGTAATTACTGTTGAAGAAGCACTTTATAAAATTCATTTTGTGGGGTGCGAGTATTGCTGGCTGACCAGCATTTGTTGCCCATTCCTAGCTGCCCTTGAGGTGGTGAGTTGTCTTCTTGAAGCGCTGCATTTCATCTGCTGTGGATTGACCCACAGTGCCATTAGGGAGCGAATTCCAGTACACTGACCCAATGACATTGAAAGAATGGCAACATATTTCCAAGTCAGGATGGTGAGTACCTTGGAGGACAACCTGAAGCTGGTCATATCTGCTGCCCTTCTTCTAGGTGGTAACAGTCATGGGTTTGGAAGAATCTTTGAATTTCTGCAGTGGATCTTGTGGATAGTACATACTGCAGCTACTGAGCCTCAGTGGTAGAGGGAGTGGATGCTTGTGGATGTCGTGCCAATCAAGCGGGCTGCTTTGTCCTGGACTGTGTCAAGCTTCTCGAGTCGTTAGAACTGCATTCATCCAGTCAAGTGGAGCGTATTCCATCACACTCCTGACTTGTGACCAATAGATGGTGGACAGCCTTTGGGAGGAGTCAGGAGGGGAGTTACCTCCTGTAAGATTTCTATTCTCTGACCATTTACAATCAGTGAGTGCAACTTCTAAGTAAATCCATACTTAAGTATATGACCTTACAAGTAAATTAAAATTTGTCTACAAAATGAAATACAATAAAATAGCATAAAATATCCTTTATTGTCATGTGTTCAATATAAATGAGTGAAAAGGTGTGTACCAACACCATACACAGGCGCCATTCACACTAACAGAATAATATAGAAAGACAACTTAGAAGGGAAAGTTTCCCTTCTTCGCTGCTACAGCATGCTGCTGCCAGAGTCCGGCTCCGGGTTTCGCAGCCCACACCATGCTGCCGCCAGCCGGCCACTCCACTCAGAAGCAAGAGTCCCGCTCCAGGCTTCACAGGCCAGCTGACCCACTCTGTAGCCATGCTGCCTCTGAAGATGCCACCACCACCCCATGGAAGCCGCCTTCTGCCGAAGAGCTCTCTTTATCAGCTAAGTTTGAGAATAAAGGGGAAAGGAGGAAAAAGATGAAGACAAAAAGAGGATAAGCCCGGGCACAGGAGCCCGTACACTGCCTACTCCGCAGCCGCCATCTTGATTGCGAATATTCTCTTGACAAAGCAAGATCTTGGACAAATAGTCTGCTTTTGATCTACATAAACAAAACACTGAACATGTACAACTCTATCAGAAACCAAGAATGTTGCTATCCAGTTGTTGTTTAGGCCTAGTAAAAATCAAAGTAAAATGGTCGATTAACCAGGTTAAACAAAACAGCTACATGTGATTTCTATAGAATCCCAACAGTGTTTCAGACACAGGGAGAATGTGCAAACTCACCACAGGCAGGTGCCAGAGGGTAAAACTGAACCTGGGTCCTGGGGCTGTCAGGCAGCAGTGCCAACCACTGAACTGCCATGCTTCTCTAGATAGTTAGATAGTTCATCCAATTCCTTTATGGCTAGACAATTGTATCTATTTCTGGACAAATTTTGTACACCATAAGTCCAGGCTGTTACACTGATAATCATGATTTAGAAACGATGGATCAGAATTAAGATGAAAATGCTGGAGTCTCAGTAGATCCAGGTTCAATTCTACGCTCAGGCACCTGAGTTTGTGCTGAGTTTGCACATTCTCCTTGTGCCTGCATGGGTTTCCGCCAGGTGCTCCGGTTTCCTCCCACATCCAAAGATGTGCAACTCAGGCTCATTGGCCATAGTGTTCAGGGTTGCGTAGGTTAGGTGTTAACCATGATGCAGAGGTCCTGATGTTGGACTCGGGTGGACAATGTCAGAAGTCACACGATACCAGGCTATACTCCAACCGGTTTATTTGAAATCATAAGCTTTTGGAGCACTGCTCCTTCGTCAAATAAACCTGTTGGACTATTGCCTGGCACCATTTGACTTCTGACCTAGGTCAGGCATGTTAGTCATGGAAATTGAACGGTTACTGGGAATTGGTAAGGGAATGGATATTGGTTGGATGCTCTTTGGAGCGTCGGTGTTGACTTGTGCTGAATGGCCTGTTTGAACACTGTACGGATTCTACAGAAATCAAGTGCAGCTGTTTCGTTTAACCTGGTTAATCGACCATTTTACTTTGATTTTTACTAGGCCTAACCAACAACTGGATAGCAATATTCTTGGTTTCTGATAGAGTTGTACATGTTCAGTGTTTTGTTTTTGTAGAACAAAAGCAGACTATTTGTCCAAGATCTTGGTTTGTGGTATCGTCAAGAGAATATTCGCAATCAAGATGGCGGCTGCGGAGTAGGCAGTGTACGGGCTCCTGTGCCCGGGCGTGTCCTCTGTCTGCATCTTTTTCCTCCTTTCCCCTTTATTCTCAAACTTAGCTGATAAAGAGAGCTCTTCGGCAGAAGGCGGCTTCCATGGGGTGGTGGTGGCATCTTCAGAGGCAGCATGGCTACAGAGTGGGTCAGCTGGCCTGTGAAGCCTGGAGTGGGACTCTTGTTTCCGAGTCGAGTGGCCGGCTGGTAGCAGCATGGTGTGGGCTGGGAAAACTTGAGCAGGACTCTGGCAGCAGCATGCTGTAGCAGTGAAGAAGGGAAAGTTGGACTCTATATTTTGGATGGGCTGACTGCTTTCAAGTAGAGAAAAGCAAGTTTTCCAAATGTTCCTCTTTTTGAGGTGACTCCTTTAATACTTAGCTTCCCTTTCTAGTCCAGGTAAAATCTGTCTATGTTACTTCTTTTCCTCTGTGGTATTTCTTCTTTTATACAAATAATAAAAAAAAAAAATATCATCTTTTACTGAGCTAACATAGCTTTTCAAGAAATGTTCAAAGCAGGTCTGATCTTGCATGCCTCCCAACTCTAATTAAGATGTTTTAGTCATCGAACCGAATTCCTGTGCACTTGGACTCTGATTAATTTGCAGAGTTCTCTTTTTAACAATACTAAATGAGATGTTTACTTGCAAGATTGTACACACCTTGTATAAATCTAATGGAATATTGAAGCTTCCAGCAAAATTCCCCATTTGTCGTCTTCACAAAGCAATACAACACTGCAAACAAAGTCACTTAAAATGGCTGAAATTGATGCCCACTCATCTGGAGTCAACAGCCAGTCAGCAAATTAAACGCAAGAGTGAATATTAAATGACCAAATTCAGTTTGTGATCAGCAGCCTCCTTCCGGTTTTAAACTATACTAACCCATGAATAGATTCATAGTATTTTAATTGTAACCAATAACCATTTCCAATGAATTCCCATTACCTGCTGTTCCAGATTTTCTATAGCTTTTCGTTTCTCATCAGTGAGAGCTTGTTTCTCATTCTCTGCTTCCAACATGCGCTTTTCTAACTGTGCTTGGTACTCTGCTGCCTCTTTGAGGCGTGATTCGACAGCAGTGCGCACCTCTTCGGTCACCTGAGAATAGATTACGAACCAATGAATCAAGACCGTATTTCAATTTACCGCAAATAGTGTGAACAATTAAGTTTACTTTCAAAACCAGCAGTTTGCATCTCAAGAAATGTAACTTTTTACAAAACCCACTTCTGATAATCAAGTCATAATTGTTTTTGAAATCTTACATGGTAGGATGCATAATCATTCTTACTCAACTTAAACCAACAGGCACATTGCTCAAATGTAAGGACTGGAGGTTTGGTTAGACTTAAGTTGCAAATTAGGTATGTAAATTTAAGGGACTGCTGACATCAGCACTTCCTGAAATCAGAAATCAAAGGGAACATACACAAAATGTGGAAACCTGAACGCTTCTTTTTGTCATTATGTAAAAATGCATCAAACCACATAGTTACAAAGACATGGATCTCAAAAGTTGTTTTAACTTGTTTCCTAATTTAATATAAATTTTAGTGTTTGGCACAGGAGGAAATGGGACCTTTTATCGGATCTCCCTAATCACACATCCATGAGACTTCATACCAAATCCAACTTGGAAAAAATGTGACCTCCTTGTTATGGAGATAGAGGTTTACTCAAAGTGAATGATACAAGGAGGATGCAGCTTGTTATGCTGTCATCCAGCAACTCAAACATTCAGTACAGTCCTATTAAAAGATTTTTACCAAATCTGGCACTGCCATACCCACACAAAGGAAACAATTGCTTTTAGATTCATCTCCAACTAGAGCACTGATGAGGCTCAAAAACGTAGTCAATGAAACAAGAAATGCCGAGAGTTAAACAACAAGGAATTACTAGAAGGTACCTTGCTACACAAAGTCCATATGAATGCTCAATAGGATGGAGTGAAAAGGGTCTTTGTTTAAAAGGGCACTGGAAGATTCACCCAGGCGGGTGGGAGCTTTTTTGCTGAAAATACAGCATAATATATACATGGCCTACAGTTTTAGATTGTGTCAAAAACACAAAGAATGCCTGTCCTGTAGAAATACAGAAAATAGGAACAAGTCACTTTACTCGTCGAGCCTAGTTTACCATTCAATTTGTTTATGGCTGATACACTATCTCAACATCATACTGACTCTTCTCTCCCCATACCCCTCAACACTTTCAGCTTTTAGCAATCAAACAATTCAAAATGTATTCAATAATTTCACCTCTAGAGCTTTGTGGTAGGGAATTCGAAAAGTTCACAACTGAAGAAATTTATCCTCATTGCAGTCAAAATAGCCTACTATATATCCCAAGATTGTGACACTTCGTATTGCGTATCTTCGCCAAGGAAGAAAAAAAATCACTGTCTGTCCAGCCATATCAGAGTTTATGTTTTAATGAGATCACCTCTCATGCTGCTAAACTCCAGTCTATAAGAGTCCAGACAACCCAATCTTTCCTTGTAGGCTTCTCATTACAACCTTCACTGCACTGTCTATTGCTAGATCTTTTCATAGGCTAAAAAAGAAACTGCACTTAATACTCAAAGTGTGTGGTCTCACTAAGGCCATGTGCAGCTACAGCTTGCTCTTGGTCAAGTCCTCTTGCAACAAAAGGCCAATGTACCATTTGCGTTCCTAACTGCTTACTGCACACCTGCATGCTAGCTCTCAATGATCACTGTACAAAGACACAGTGGTCCCTTGGTACTTTAGTATTTTCAAATCTATCACTATTTAATTAATAAGCTGCCATTCTGTTTTTTTCCCCGTATTGAAGAAAGGAAGACTTCAGTCATTCACATTACTTTGCATCTGTAATGCTTTTGCCCACTCTCTCATTCGACTAGTGAGTCAGTTCCCCTAGTAACATTTGGTCTATACATGACTCTTCTGCTGAATTCAAAATGTTAACTTTGTTTTTTTTCTCCACAGGTACTGCCAAACATGTTGGCAATCTCTGGTATTCTCCTTGCTGGTTTCAGATGATAGAGTCTGCAGTATTTTGTTAATTTTGTGTATATTAATTTTACACAGCAAGAAATTCTTAAAACATGAAATCTTGAGATTCTTTGCATGGGCATCGATTTTCCTGCAACAAGTTAGTGGATTTTTCAGGGATCGTAACAGAATGGAGGACAATTATTACATCAGGCATCTGTTCACAAAAGTTAACACTCCAAGCTGCCAAATTCCACTGAGCCATAGACAAACCGGTCTAGCTATCCTCGGCTGACTAGCACTTGTCATTACAGAACTTTCCAATATAGAATGCAGTTGATCTGTCAAGTCAGTTAGCCCCTTAGCAGTAGATTTAAAACGGCTATAAAGTACATAACTTTCTATTGAAACAACAGTAAACCTTTTATCTGTACCCCTTCTGAAAGCTATGGCTGTTTACTTCTCTTCACATCCATCACAAACATTTCAGCTTTTACATGAGATGAAATGTCAAGTCACTAACCTGTTTCTCCTTACTAAGGGACTCCTCCAGGCTAAGAGCCATGTCTCTGTATTGTTCCACATTGCTTGTTGCAGTCTCGAGACGCTCTCTCAATTCATTTGCCTGCTCTTCAGCCTGGCGAAGCTGTGATTGGAGATCATCAACATCATCTTCTGTACTAGATTTTCCTGGAAATCGAGCAGAGTTAGATGCACAAGTCTAAATGATCTAAAATTTTACTGAATAGGTCATATCCAGTAAGATTCAATTTCTTCCCATGAATAGTTTCTAGAGAGTTTATTACCCTGACATCCTAATGATTTTCAGAAGGGTGTTCCACACAAACTTCAGTCACAATGAATAAGGGTTTACTTATTTTGGAGATATTAAGGGAAAGAAAACCATTTGATCAGCAAATATCCTAAGGAGGCTTCTGCAATTTTTGCTTTTATTTTGGCTTTTTTTCTTTCACATCTACAGTGTTTTGTTTTTAATCTGTGGATTTTTCAACTTTGCATCTAAGTTAAGGTCTGATAACTATTAATGTACGACTGCTGATCATTTACATCAATATTTCAAACCATTTAAATTTAGTTTCTCTGGACTGAGAAATAAGATCATAATTAAGAAATTACAAAGAAAAAAAAACCAAGAGTTGCACACAAAAAGATACTCTTATGAGTAAAGTGTTAACAGTTACAATGAAGCATGACATAAAATGGCAGATGCCAAGTTCCCAATTTTAACAGACACATTTACTTATGTCAATAATACACAAGATTCAGCCTATGAATGAAAGCTGAAGCAGAGGAAGACAGAATAATTATCGAGATGAAGTTACAAATATACCTGCCATGATCAAATGTTTTACCTTTAGAATCACCTCCTTTAGTCTCAGCCAGTTTAGTTTCAACATTGTTAAGGTGTAATTTCAAGGTACTAATTTCTTTCTCAGCATTTTTCAGGAGTTCCTTAGTCTTTGTGTGGAGATTAGATTCAGTTTCAAGCTGCTTCTTGAGCTCCAGAAGTTGAATCTTTACAAGGTTAAAAAAAAAAGTCATTTTAAGAAAGCAAATATAGATTCCTAAATCATAGTAATCTGCAGAATTTATCCAGAAGGTCAAAGTTTTTAAACATTCATTCATGTGATGATGTGGAAGTCACTGGCTCAGCCAGTTTTATCACCCATTTCTAATTGCTCTGGAGAAGGCTGAACTACTGCAGTCCTTGAGATGTAGGTACCCACAGTGCTGTTAGATAGGGAGTTCCAGGAATCTGACCCAATGACTGAACTAACAGCAATCTCATTCCAGGTCAGGATGAGATGTGGCCTGGAACGGAAATTACAGGTGGAGGTGTTCCCATGCATCCATTTTCCTTATCCTTTTGGTGGTCATCACAGGCTTGCAAAGTGGTGTCTAAACAACCTCAAGTTGTTGCAGTCTGTCTTGTAGATGACACTTAACTGACACCGTGCATCTGTAGTGCAGGCAGTAAATGTTAAAAGGCAAGAGATGAGATACAAACAAATGGCTACTTTGTCCTGGATGATGTCAAGCTTCTTCAAGGTTTTGGAGTGGTCTCACCCAGGCAAATGGAGATTTCTATCATATGTGCTTTATACACAGCGAGGGGCACTGGTGAGATAGGAGGAGAGTTGCGCACCATGTAATTCTCCCCATCTGATCTGCTGTTATGGCCACACAGAATATGGACAGCTGGTTCCGTTCAATTTCCAGTTAATGGCATCTTCTGATCTTTGAGTTTTGAATGTAACCCACCATAATTACCAGTAAAAGGTAAAGTCACCACAGTCTTACCAGACCATAGGATTGCTCACTCAGAGAGACAACTGATTGGAGGATTTAACGAGAAGTTGAGGAGTCTTTATGGTGACCTCAATCAGTGCAGGAATTAAACACACTGTTGGCATCAATGCAATGCAAACTAGCCATCCAGGCTAATTGATCCCTACCAATAAAGGAATCCACCAATCGACAGTTTTCATGTACTTACATCTTGGTTTCTGCCAAGTGAATGCCACTGATCCACTTCATATTCCACTTTTTTTTTCAGCTTCTCTATTTCACGTTCTTGTTTCTCAATTTGGCTGTTTAAACGTTGCCTAGTTTCAGTTTCTGCACGTTCCAGAGTCAACTACATATCAAAAAAAAAAAAAACTGTAGATTAACAAAAATTCTTCTCACCTCAAACCTGAACATTGGCATGTCTTTTTAAAATAAAATGTATATCGTAAAGATACAAAGACTGCATTCCAAACTTTGCATACTGCAAAATGACCATCATTAATCTATATACACCACTAATCTGAATGTACCAATGCGGGAGGGCAAAATTGTTGAAAGCCTTTTTTGAAGATTGACATTAAGTTAGCATGCCATGGAAAACTACTACAGTGGTGATGAAAATATGTTTGTCAGCCGTTTAAAATGAAAACCCAAGAGGCACAGAACAGTTATATTTTCAGAAGGAAAAAAAGAATTAGAGTAGCCAGAGACAATAATACTTGATTTTCTGAAGCACAAGTTTTGATTCCAAATAAGGCAAAGCAGAGCCTGGTAACTATGACCATAAGATATAGGAGTGGAAGTAAGCCATTCTGCCCATGGTTCTCAGGGGACTGGCCTCAAAACACTGACGACTGCTTTCTCTGTCACAGATGCTGCCAGATCTGCTGAGTTTCTCCAGCAATTTCTGGACCACAGATCTGCCAACCTGAAAATTCCCCCTATTATCTTTTAATAGGTCACCAATGTGTTATCCACATTAATATACAACTCGCGACACCAGAGGGCCCCACCTGATGCCTAAGCCTTCTATCTGATACTTTAAATCGATCACCTTTCGTAATACCAAATTTATTATTTCTACTGGTTTCCATTTGTGTTTCCAGCTCATTACTTCAAAATACATTCGTCAGACATGATTTCCTCCCCATAAAGAAATGCTGACTCTGCTTGATCATTGTATGTATTTCTAAATACTCTGCCATGATAGCCTTCACATATGTGACTCCAATATCTTCCTATGTTTCACATGACTATTACGGTGGTTAATTCATTTACTTTGTTCCAAATACTATGTGCATTTATGTAAAGAGTCATTAATCTAGCCTTTTTACCATTTGAGCCTATTTACTGTTTTTATTGCAAGAAATGCTTGTACACCATCGCTTCCTATTACACTCTGGCTATCATTATCAAAATAATTGCGTTGCAATGCCACCATATCACTTTCCTTTGTAAGCCTAAATATTGCCTCTCCCAAAGAGTTCAAAGCCCTCTTTTTCCCCGGCTTGTTATTTCATTTACAGGGACACAGATCCATGGATAAAGTGAAGGACGTACAACAGAAATAGCTCACTCCCAACTCCAGTACTGTTATCATGTGCTCTATGAACTGAACTCCATTCCTCCTATGTCAAGCTTGAAGCCAGACATTTAACTACTGGACGCTGTTTACCCAATTCTAGTTTGTACTTGTTCAGACAGGAAGCCCAACATTATTACATTGGGAGGCTCTGCTTTTTAATTTAGCTCTCAACTGTTTCAAAATCTTTCAGCAGAAACTACTTCCCAGTCCTATCAATGCCCTTAGTACCAAAATAGATGACAACAACTCAATCTCTCTCCTCCCACACCAAGTTCTTCTCCAGGCCCGAGGAGCGGTCCTTATCCCTGGCAGCAGGCCAAATCTATTCTTGGTCATTTGAATATAAAGGCCTTCACATAATGGAAAATTATTGGAGAAAGCCAAAGAAAGATAGACAGCTTAATGAGTTCACACAAATCATCATTTTAACATAGTTTTAATCGTATAATGCACCCTAACTTCACTGGACAGAGTGATTTGTTTCAAGTAACCTAACCCTAGAAAATGGACTCAAGAACAATTGAATTTACTACACGGGGAAAACCCCAGCACCACAAAGCAAGTTACTGATATCAAAGAGAGGGCCTAACAGCTCATTGGGAGAGAAATCCGTGAAGGTATTTAAAATATATATTTAAAATGCTCACACTTTTTGACTACTTTTGACCTATAATTTACAAGAGGACAGCTTGTCCCACTGGAATTTTTCTGCTTAATGGGGTTAGTTAATTGTGTACACAGATTCCAAACTTGGAAATGGACTTCAAAATGTTTCTAATGTTTTATACTTTTAAAATCAACCTGCTCAGAAATTATGACACCTCTGAAGCAGGTGGGACTTGAATCCAGTTTTCATGGCTCAGGAGGCGGGACACTACCACTGCACCACAAGAACATGTTATAAGAGATGTCATACATATAGTCCACTAGAGAAGAAGATTTTAAGCAACATAATGCTGCTTTGAAAGACTTTGGCAGAGCACATTGCAAAAAGAATAGGGCTCATTTTCTCAGCTATCAACACAATGCAACGACATTCAATTAGACTTCTCACACACACATAGCTCGGCTCCAATTAAGAAGTTTCAATCCCAGTGTACCTGAATAGATTGCAGATTTGTTAGCAGCAAGCTCTGTCCCCTGAGCTCAGCAAACTTTGAATCACGCTCTTGGGTAAGACGTACTTCCACCATCTTCAACATATCTTTCTCTTTTCTCAAATTTTCTCCACGAGTCTATAGGTTGGAGATTGAGAAAGACAAAAATCAGAAACTGTTTGATCTCTCTACTTGCCATAACTATAGCAATGCACAACTGTTTATAATTAAGTTGATCCTTTTGTACACGAGCCAGCTGAACATACTTTGTGAAGGAAATTAAGAAGTTCACAATCCATATGCAAGTTAACCTGGAAAGAAACCCATTAGCATTCTTTTGGTCCACAACTTCCCAAAGTTGGGGTCAGAACCCCAAGTAACAGTCTCAAATAATAAGCACCTTTCACACTCAAAAATCCATGGAATACTTCAAGATAATAGGCAAAAGTTAGTTCATAAAGTAAACAAAAAAAATCCAATTATGGCAACAGGCTCCTAGCCTTCATTTTTCAGGTTTAAGTTTGATTATCTCCAGAAAACCAAACATGTTCTTAATGGTGAATTCTCACCTCCTCCAGAGCTAATTTTTCATTTGATGCTCGTAAATCTTGAGTCATGTTGCTAATTATGTGTTCTTGTTTCTGAACAGTTGTGGTGAGTTTCTGACATCTATCACGCAAGGATGCTATTTCACGGCGAAATCCATCTACATTGTTCTGTAGCATCTCATACCTAAATTTTAAACGAAGATTTGTGTTAAGCTTGTCCACCCAAAAAATTATTTCTGGTTGTACACCAAGTGACATCAGTGCTGGAAAACAGTTATAGTATGGGTCAGAACAAGATTATGGTCTTGACTGCAAGATGTTAAGATGTTAATAAACTCAGATTCTCAAGAACAATATTTTTGATCAAATATTATGAAATATTATTGCGATCTTGTTGTGGCAATAGCCTAAGAGACAGAACAGGAAAGTTGATATTCTGGTTTGGTTGATTTGCAATAACCACTGTAGTTTCACCACTTGCAGGTCAAATCTTAAAAAGATTCAGGGGTCAGTACTGCAAATCCCAAGTAGCAGTAAGGCTGCGGAAATCAGTTCTGATCTTCAATTGTGCACTTGAAAATACATTGTAGGACAATCCACAATGGTACAACTAAAATAATTCTTAAAATTCCAACTGTAAAAAAAGTGTTTTTGGATCTTTGGAACTGTGTAAGAGTAGAAACAATTTAATTATAAATCAGGAACAAACCATGAATTTAAGGATCATTGCCAATTATAAAATTGTCTTTCCATCATTCTTTAATCAAAAAGAGAATTCTTCCATTTTAGCTTTAGACTTAATTGTCTAATCTAGTCAAAGTATCATGACTACGTACAATTTCTAAATGGATACCACCAATTCTTACAGCGATAACCTTGATTCTCTAAACATACCTTTTAGAAGCAAATTCCAACTGCGTAGAAAGTTTTGTGCTCTGGGTTCGAAGTTGTGTCAGTTGATCTTGAAGTTTCTCATTCTGTTCATTTAACATTTTATCATTCTCTGCCTTTTCTGTCTTATAACTTTCAAAGTGCAACTGGAGCTAAAAAGAAATAGTAATTTTCTAAAAATATTGCACCTTAAAATTTTACTGCTTTTGCTTACTCAACCAACAAATCCATTTACATTTGTTACTCTAATAAATTCTTCCCCCATTCACAACCTTTGACTTGGAGCGTGAGGTTACAGATCAATTCAAAATCCTACCGTTTAGTAGACAGATGACCAAAATTAAGCATCAGGTAGCATTCCAACAAAGATGAAAGTTTCAAGACAAATCACAAGTAATATCTACCTGCTATCTAGGTAACAATGTTTACCATTTACCATAACATGTCGGCTGTCATCTAGTGGTCCTTCCAAAGGGCCATGAGGTATTTATGGAAACATCTAAGCCTCAACCACTAATAGTACTGGCTAAAATTTCAAACACTCAAATTAATTTAAATACTTGATGATCACTATCCAACACTGCGGTAAATTAAAGATATGACAAGAACTTGATTTTAAAAACTCCAACAGGTTTACATACTACACATGCAAACAGCAGCTCAATATAAAGAAGGCACTGCCTTATTACTTATGGTTTGCACAAACAAGACAAAACCCTACATTAGTTTTCTCAGGAACCAGACTTGAATACCTTGACAGAACATATTAAGACACACTCAACTACTCATCATCGAAAAGAAGAGAAATAAAAGCGACACGGTGTCTCAGTGGTTAGCACTGCTGCCTCACAGCGCCAGGGACCCGGGTTCGATTCCACTCTCGGGCAACTGTCTGTCTGTGGGGACTTTGCACCCTGTGTCTGTGTGGGTTTCCTCCGGGTGCTCCAGTTCCCTCCCACAGTCCAAAGATGTGCAGGCTAGGTGGATTGGCTATGCTAAATTGCCCATAGTGTTCAGGGATGTGTAGATTAGGTGGCTTATAGGGGATGGGTCTGGATGGGATGCTCTCAGGGTCGGTGTGGACTTGTTGGGCCGAAGGGTCTGTTTCCACACTGTAGGGATTCTATCATAAATCATGCCCACTCGAGTCTGCTTAACCCTTGGCTAAAATCATAGCTGAATTTCTACATCCAGCCCAATCTCCATTGTCTCACATCCTTTTGTGCTTAATACTTGCTCTTTCACCAATATTTTCATATGGCTGAATATTTACAGGTGCCGGAAATAGAGGATTCTGAAGGGTTCATAACCTCCTATCTCATAACTATCTATAGAATATACTTATCCTTAAAATACGACTTGTGCTCGCTGACCTTGGGTTTTGATATTCCAAAATCCTCTATGTAGAATAGTCCAATCCACATGGATTGTCCCCTTCTATTCAAGGCAAGTGGACACAAAACAGGGAAGCACCAGCTTGTTAAATGTCTAACAGCCAGATCAAAGTAGAAAACCAGACACCAATGTTTTTCACTTAATACTAAAATTGATTTATGGAATGCAACATTGCAAACATCTGACTTCTCTTTAATACACACCCAAAAGGTCTTTTAAAGGGTTCAGGGTATTTAAAAAAAAACTAATGCTCTCCACCCATTTAGATAGACTTTTTGTTTTTTTTTTTAAAAAAAAGTCTGAGGTTCAAGTGTTCCGACACACCTCTAGAGCAGTTGGGACTTGAACCCTTCTGGCTTAGACGTAGGGGCACTACCACTGTGTCACAAGGAGCTCTTAAAAGAAACATTGATATAACACGGACTCGAGACTTCTGCTGAAACCCAGGATTTAATCAGTGATCTTTTGATATTCAGTCTCATATCCTCCCAGATGACTTAACCTTAATACAACCGAATAGCATTAACATGTCTGTCTACCCAACATCAAAAATATGGAATATGAGAGATGAGGGATGAGGTAATGGGTCAGAGAAAATCATCACTGATCAGGTAACAATCCGATGCAAGGAAAATAATGTTTGACAAAATGAGATAAGGACAGAGCTCAAGAGAACACAGTCAGTCAACGTACTGTACTTGGATTTTGAACTTATTTTCAAAAAGGTGCAACACAAGATATTATTAAACAAAATTAGGCCTCATGAATTTGGGGATAACATTAGCATTAATGGAAGATCCATTAACGGATGGGATAAAAATAGGAATAACACGTTCATTTTTGGGGTGACTGGCTGTGAAAATTAGGGAATAGCAAGGATCAATGCTCGGGCCTCAGCTCTTTACAACAACGACGACTTAGGTTTCAAGAATTTAGCTAAGTTTAGTGAGTGGGCAAGATGAACACATTGAAACACCTTAAGTGTCTTGAAAAAAACAGATACTGGGCAAAGCAGAGTCAGGCAGTTAGCCAAAAAGGACCAAGTTGAGAGATTTCTCGCCTTCAAGTGAATCCTTGGAACACTCTACCCCGGAGACTTATGGATGCTCAGCTTTTGGGTAAATCAGGTGGGTGAAGTGATTATAATAAATAGAGAAGTCACCTAAAAAAAAAAAAGGACATCTGGCTACACCTGCTCCTATTTATTGCATGGTTATTTTCAACCAAAGTGGCAAATTTACAAAATTCTCACCCAGGTATACAAACACATGCCTCCTTTATACACAACCTGCTTCAAAATTTCCAATCCACCCTGAACTCAGTCCTGCATTTCTGGTCTTTCAAGCATCTCCCAGTTCCATTATCTGATGACTGGCAGCAATTACTTCAACCATTATGCCACAAGCCACCCTCACTAGCTCACTGCTTCTCCTTTTCTCTTCAAGATGCTCCTTAAAAACATAATTGACTAAGCCTTCAGTCAGAGTCACAGATGACCAGCACAAAACCAGACCCTTCAGTCCAACTCATCCATGCCAACAAAATATCCTAAATTAATCTAGCCCCATTTGCCAGCAATTGGCCTACATCCCTCTAAACCCTTCCTATTCAGATACCCATCCAGACGCCTTTTAAATGTTCTAATTGTACCAGCTTCCACCACTTCTAGCAGCTCATTCCATACATGCACCACCCTCAGAGAAAATTGCCCCTTAGGTCCCTTTTGTATCTTTCCCTTCTCACCATAAACCTATGCCCTCTAGTTTTGACCTCCCACAACCCTGGGGAAATGACCTTGTCTATTTACCCTATCCATGCCCCTCATTATTTTATAAACCTCTGTATGGTCAACCCTCAGCCTCCGATGCTGCAGGGACCCAGCCTATTCAACCTCTTCCTATAGCACAAACGCTTCAAGCCTGGCAACATCCTCAGATCTTTTCCGAACCTTGTCAAGTTTCAGTATAGCAGGGAGACCAGAATTACACAGTATTCTGAAAGTGGTCTAACCAATGTCCTGTGCAGCACAACATGACCTCCCAACTCCTATACTCGATGCATTGACCATTAAAGGAAAGCATACTAAATGCCTTCTTCACTATCTTATCTACCTGCGATTCCACTTGCAAGAAACTAGGAACCTGCAGTGCCAGGTCTCTTTGTTCAATAACTCTCGCCAGGACCTGACCATTAAGTGTCTAAAGTCCTGCCCTGATTTGCCTTTCCAAAATGCAGCACCTCACTTTTAAATTAAACTCTATCTGCCACTCCTCAGACCACTGGCCCATCTGATCACGGTCCTGTCGTACTCTCAAGTAACCTTCTTCACCATTCACTACACCTCCAATTTTGGTGTCATCTGCAAATTTACTAACCATACCTTCAATGTTCACATCCAAATCATTAATATTAATGACGATGATCACTTGCCTTGCAGCTCTTTCAGCCCAGTATCAGTTTTTTTATGATCATGTTCTTGAAATGTCTTGGAAAGTTTTATTATTGTTAGGGTCATTTAAATAAATGCACAATATTATACAGTACTTAGTATGTGAAAGAAACAAAAGTGCCACTGTGAAGGCACCTTACTGTTTTTCTAATGCCATTGCTTACAAGACAAGTCAGTGTTATGCTATAATGACCTACGATTGAATTAATGCATTTTATTACATATTTTTTGAAATAAAATCACATATTTGGTTTTCCAAGGACTAATAAAGAGTTACAGGAAAATTGTCAGCATATTGAATATAAAAGATCAGCAGTTACAAAGGAGATATGCATTTTAATTTTGCAGCACTGTGCATTAAGGCCCTGACGTTCTATAGCACTTAGAGGAGAAATTTTGAATATTGGGAAATGTTAGAGGTTATGCAAAGTGCAGTTTGACAGAAATGGCTGGGAAGACAGAGGGGGAAGGGTGAAGAAAATTGACCCAAGTTGCAAATTCTGGAAAATTGTCATGATACAAGTCTGTCAAGATTAAAATGCAGCAGCCATGTGCACTATAGAGAAATAAACCTCTGTCAAGGCCATCAGCCCTCCTGCATACAGCAACATTCGACACTGACTTTCCTCACTGTTTGCTGAAACATGTATTTCTTGAGGTTGAGATAACAAGGTGTAGAGCTGGATGAACACAGCACACAGCATCAGAGGAGCAGGAAAGCTGACGTTTCGGGCCTAGAACCTTCTTCAGAAGAAGTTGGTTGGCTCGCTGAGCTGGTTTGTTGTTCCGCTGACGTTTCGTTACCATGCTGGGTAACATCAGTGTAGCCTCTGATGAACAAACCAGCACAGCAAGCCAACCAACCTCAACACCCACAACCCGAGCTACAAATCTACTCCAAAACCTCAGACGTGTATTTCTATCTGGCTTAAAATATTTAGTGCACCATTAATGCTACAATTTATTTGAGCTGAAAAAAATTCCATAATTGAAATACTTGTGCCTTCACAGTTTACATGCACCTATACCAACTCTCTCACAAACGCAATCATCTCAAAAAGATTTTTTTTTAAAAACAAATTCATTTTCAGTCTAAAGTGGGCTGTGGCTCAGGAGTAAAAACTTCATTCAGGAGACTAAGTTTGAACAGTTTCAGTTTCAACCTGCATTTATATCATTTGAAGAAGTTGAATTTTCCTTCCTAATCCAAGTCCCCCAAAACAGTCTTTTTTCATATGCGCTACCTGTTGGTAGCATTACTTGGCACATTCGAAACAAAGGTTTAAAAATTACAAATTTCAAAATATGAACAAAATTAAAAGAAATTCAGAAGACCAAACATAAGACATTTTGCACTTTACTGCACCCAAAATACTAATCACTTAATTTGCTGTGCAATTGCACAGAAAAAAATGCAGTTATCTTCAAAAATTGACAGAATCATTCCATTTGTATGTTTGGCAATGGTACAAATTACTACTTATATATTCAACTGTCTCAATGTTTATACATCATATTTACAGTGTTTTCCATTACAACATTAAAGTGGTTCCATATGATTCTATTATTATCTGTAAACTAACAAAAATTGTCCCATACAAGACCTCTAAAGAAATGAGAGAATAATATACACAATCTCCTAAACAAATTGAAGGCTTGCAACAAATTGGTGCTCCAGACATTTCAGCAACTGGTATTTCACTGTTGCCTGACTCGATTCAACATGATGGTTTATGATAATTCAACATATTTTTCAACAGGAAGCCATACATTTGATACAACATCTTTCCTACCTGTTTCAGTGCTGTCCTTGCTTGCACAAGCTCTGCAGACTCTGCTACAGGAACAGGAGCTGGTGTGGAGGTCATTTGTGGCACTGGTTTGGATTTCCCTGGAGACGATTTTGGAGTGGATGAAATTAAAGATGCGTCTTCTGTTTCTACACAAGGGTAATAACAAATACTTATCACACTTGCACAGTTATTGTTCTGTTGCTTTAAATGTTGAAGCTCTTTTTTTTTTAAAAGAGCAAACCTTTATTAATAACTTGCAGGGAGGCTCTCCATGACATCTGCCAGGGAAAAGTTTGTCAATTTTCAGCAGCTAACTTATCTAGATCTTTACTTCCAGATGCTGTAATCCTGTTCTCTAGATTCCCCATACTCCAGCAATTCTATTTCATCCAATACTCTCAGCACGCATCCTCTCTCGCACCAAAAGCTACATGACCAATGTTTGCTGGCTGAACGACACTACCTCCCAGTCCTGCAGAATGCTTTGAACTGTTAGGAAGGAAGCATCACATCCAGAGCTAGGCACAAATCAATTCAGTATATAGATCAGGGAATTTGGAGGCAGTGTGGGAATTTGAAATAGAGAAAAGAGGTGCTGTTACCTTCTTTTTTTGGCTTATCGTTTCTAAATTTATTCTTAAAAAAAAAAAAAACAGGATAGACTGAACCCCAGGGCATGGAAGGCCAGCACAAGAGTGACATCACATACAAACCACACATTTGTTGGCCAGTGGTAGCTCGTAATTTGACGATTACAGGTTACTTTCAGATTGCAGGCAAATAGGGAAAATATTTGGCTCCAACTATAAGACTATTACAAAACCTATGTAATTAAAATAGAAATGCTGGGCCAACTAAGATGTTATAACTGTATGATGTGGGAGCTGGTGGACCCCATTGCATTTCACAGTGACTAGATCTGTAGCAAGTATTGGTTGTTTGAGGATCTATGGCACAGAATTGATAAGCTCGAGTCTGTGCTGCAAACACTGCAACACATCAGGGAGAATAAGAGTTACCTGGATGTTTTATTTCATGAAAAGTCACAACCCTTTGATTAACAGATAATCAAATCAGTAGTTATCTCCAACAAAAAGAAAAAAGAATTTATGGTCTACCTGTGATGTTACTCGTGTGCTGGGCCCCTGATCTTGGCTTCAGTTTATCATGTTAGAAAGAAAACCTTAAACTAGGAGCCTAAAATATTTTATAAATGCAACTAAAAAGCACCTCTTTCCCTTCTGTGTTAAATTCCTAAACTATATACTCACACAGTTTGTGTCTAAAAGGGTGTGACCTCAAATTCGGTCAGTAGTCAAAGACAGGAGGGTGTGACTACAAGTGAGGCAAGGAGAGGGATCCAATACGTAGTGCTGAAGGACCCTCAGCCCTGGAGCTGGTCAGGTTTGAGATTCTTGCTAAGTTAAAAACTGAAGGAACTGTGGCTGCTGTAAATCAGGAACAAAAACAGAGGCTACAGGGAACATAACAGATATGGTCACCATGAATTGCAATGAGGTCTACCAGCTCCCACATTACGCAGTTACAACATCTCGCCTAACCCGGCATTTCTATTTTAATTACTTAGTTCTTAATTTTATTTAAAAAGTGGTTGAGATTCTCGCTCCCTTAATGGATGAGAGTGGGGGTTATAAGGAAGATGAGCAAACTGACTGTAGTACCATGGTACATTCAAGAATGGTAGAAAAGACAAATGTACTTACAATCGGGGACAGCATAGTCAGGGAATAGATACTGTTCTTTATGGGCAGGCTCGAGAGTCCCGAAGGCTATACTGCTTTTGCATGAAGCCTGGATTACATATTTCAGTTCTGCTTTTTAGTTTAACCCCTAGCTGCTCATATTCCCTCAGCAAAACCCCTTTCCTCTTTCTACCAAATCATTGGTAACTATGTGGTATGTGACAACTGGATATTTCCCCTCCCACTCCAAGTTCCTCTGCAGCCCAGATGAGCAATCCTGAATAATCATTTCCAGTTTACTACCTGACACTAGAGCTAACTGGCACAGAGTCAAACAAGATTGAAGAAATAAATGTGTGGCTGAAAGACTGGTGTGGGAGAAACAGGTTCTAAATTCATGGGTCATTGGCACCAGAACTGGCGAAGTAGGGAGCTGTTCCAATGGGATGGGCTCCACTTGAATCATGCTAGAACCAGAGTCCTGGTGAAATGCATAACTAGGGTTGAGGATGGGGCTTTAAACTAAGTAGTTTGGGTGGGGGGAGCTTGTGCTGTTACTAAGAAATGAAACTAAATTAATTGTAAGAAGTTATATAGAGTCAGAAGGCTTAGAATTTGTTGGTAGGGTTGAGGGACCACACAGTGGGAGTTGAGGACAGGCCACCTCACGGTAGTTAAGGTGTGAGGAAGAAAATAAAAATCAGAACATTGAAAAAGCATGTAAAAAAACAGACTGTTACAATAATCTTGGGGGACTTCAATATGCACTGAGAAAATCAGACTGGTAGCAGATCAAGAAAAGAAATTTGTGGAATATCTAGGAGATGGTATTCTGGTCCAGTTTGTGGTAGAGCCTACTAGGGAATAGGAAATTCTAGATTTGGCAATGTATAATGAGGCAGACTTAATTAGATGAAGGAACACCTCAGGGCAGTGACCATAATATGATGGAACTCACCCTGCAGTTTGAAGGGAAGGTGGTATATTCAGATGTAATGGTATTACAATTGAGTAAAAGTAACTTCAAAACAATGGGAGAGGAGCTGGCCAGAGCTGATGGGAAGGGGAGCCTAGCAGGGTAGACAGTTGAACAGCAATGGCAGGGATTTCTGGCGGTAATTCAGGAGGCACAGCAAAAATTCATCCCAAGGATCTAAGGGGAGGATGAGGCAGCCATTGCTGACAGAGGAAATCAGGGACAGCAGAAAAGCAAGAGAGAAAGCACACAACTTGAAGGAAGCCAGAGGAATGGGAAGCCTTTAAAGACATGTAGAAGATAACAAAAATGCATTAAGGAGGGGAATAAAATGAAATAGGAGTCTAAGCCAGCTAGTAATAAAAGATGAGTTTATTTTTAAGATATCTAAAAGGTTATCTAAAAGGCAAGAGTTGGCAGTGGACACTGAAAATGACTGGAGAAGCAGTAATGAGGATCAAAGAAATGGCAGAGGAACTAAATAGGTATTTTCCATCAGCTTTCACAGTTGAAGACATCAACAGCACACCAGAACTTCAAGAGAGTTAGATGAACAGAGGTCAATGTAGTGGCCATCACCAAGGAGGTGCTGAGGCAGGTGAAAGGACTGAAAATGCATAAATCAGCTAGACCAGATGGACTACACCAGCGTTTTGAAGGAGAGAGCTGAGGAGATTGAGGAGTCATTGGTGGCGAGCTTTCAAGAATCACTGGAGTCAGGGAGGGTCCCCAGAGGATTAAAAAATAGCTAATGTAACACCCCTGTTTAAGAAAGGAGGAAGGAGGAAAAAGAAACTGTAGGCCAATTAGCCTGACCTCAGTCATTGCTAAGATTTTAAAGTCCATTACTAAGGATGAGATTGCGAATCTGTTACAATTCTTTGAGGCAACGAGAAAGTTCGACAAAAGAGAGCCAGTAGAGGAGATCAATTTAGATTTCAGGAAGGCCTTTGACAGGTGCTGCACAGGAGGCTGCTAAATAAGCTAACAGCCCACAGTGAGATAGTAGGAACTCCCGATGCTGGAGTCTGAGATAACAAGGTGTAGAGCTGGATGAACACAGTAGGCCAGGCAGCAAAGGAGCAGGAAAGCTGACGTTCCGGGTCTGGACCCTTCTTCAGAAATGGGGGAGGGGAAGGGGACTCTGAAATAAATAGAGAGGGAGAGGCGATGATAGAAGGTGGATAGAGGAGCAGATAGGCGGAGAGACGACGGACAGGTCAAGGAGGCAGGGATGAAGCCAGTAAAGGTGAGTGTAGGTAGGGAGTTGGGATGGGGATTGGTCAGTAAGGTGGGAGGAGCGGATAGGTGGGAGGTCAGGTACAAGTCACCTTGCATAGCCAGGTACAGGTCAACCCTACAGCACCCACGTCATAGAGTCAGAGTCAGAGTTGTACAGCACGGAAACAGACCGTTCTGTCCAACTAATCTGTGTTGACCAGACATCCCAATCTGACCTAAACCCATCTGCCAACATTTGGCCCATAACCTTCTAAACCCTTCCTAGTCTTATACTCATCCAGATGCGTTTTGAATTTTTTCAATTGTTAACTGCCTCCAGAACTTCTTTAGATAGCTGGTTCTGTATACACACCATCCTCAAAAAAATTACTGATTCAGAGACAGATCACAGTAAATCTTTTGCAGTTTGGTATAAAAAAAGTGTCACAAGGTTCAGTGCTCAAGCCTCAAATTAAAACTCAATGATTTGGATAAAAGGATTGAAGGAGTGGATGCCAAATTTGCTGATAACAAAGAAAGAAGAATTAGTTATGAATAAGACATAACCAAACTATATCCCATTGCAGCTTCCTTACATGGGTAGGAAAAAAATTGCCATAGTATAAAACGAGAACCGTTAAAATGCTAAGAAGAATAGAAAAACAGCATATCATTGAAATGGGGAGAGGTCACTAAATTGTGATAGAGGAATCTGAGTTTCCTGTACATGAAATCCCAAAAAAACTTTACATGCAGATGCAGGCGATCAGGAGGGCAAATGGAATGTTATTGCTAAGGAGAATGGAATATAGAAAGGAGGGATAGTTGCTCAGATGCGGAGAGGATTTTCTGCCACGAGGAGAGACTAGAATTATGAACAAATATTTAAAAAGCCTCTTCGACCAAGCTTCTCATTGCACCAAAGTTCTTTTTTCCTTATCTTTAAATGAGTAGGGTAAAAACATGTCAGATGCACCACAAAATAAAATTATGCTCATCCTTTTGATTGTAATGAATCACAAAGCCTACTGACAAAGAATAAATCTTTAAGTTTAAATCCTATAATTTCATCTATGTTGAACAGCTAAGTCATTCTTTGGTCTTTTAGAATCAAATCTATTCCACAGAAGGGTAAACCATTCTTGAAATCTTAATTTGTTCTATAAAGAGGCATTTCATTTACAGTAAAAGTTCCTCAGTTAAATTATACCTAGTGTCAACCCCTTACCCTGGATTGGAATGGTCACTCCCGTCATCTGTGCAAGTAGTATCCGATACATATCACGTTGCCGTACAATTGATTCTACCAATTGCATTTGGTGAGTCCGTGCTTCACGAAGTCTTTCAAGTTCATTCAAAGCTTCCGAAAGATTCAATTCAAGCTCAGATATTCTAAAATTAAAGACGATTTGCTCAATGATGGCTTTATCAGAACCATAAGCACTGCTGATGCTGTCTAATACAGCATGAAATAGAATATACACCTTGCATCCATAAAGGGGATAAAGAGATGGAGACAAATACATGCAAGGGTTTCTTATGCAGTTGGTGTGGGGGAGGGCAGAAAAGGGGAGGAAAGGGCTTGAAGGAAGAGCACATTGTTTTGGGAGAAAAAAGTTCAATACATTGCAAAAACCATTCCCTTCCGTGCTAGGAGAAACAGAAAGAAAATAACACCTTGAATCTATTTTAAAACGTTTAAAGGCTCAGAAAATGGCCTATGAAGGTTGCAGTGACATCAAAGGAATTTGAAGTAGAGAATTCTGAAACTGGTTTCTTGACATGCAAAGATTGAGTGCAAGTATTTAGCACAGAAATGATGGCCATGTGCTTGGATGAATTAGAGAAAGGAGGAGCAGCTGAATGCAAGCAAAAATGCAATTTCACCTGCCAACGTTTGATCTCAGCCTCAAATTGGATGTAGGGTTAAAGGCAGAGCTAAATAAATGTGCCTGTTCTTTTTTTTTTGAAACAATCAAGAGACAAAACTGGGAAAACGGATTACACTGTGCAATATCAAAGCATATGGATGCAGCAGGAGCCAAAAGATGATAACTCAAATATTGCAATATACACCAGAATGGCAGGTAAAGTCAATTGCTTGACTAGGAAACTGATGTCTTCAGTCAGAGGGGGCCAAATATCCAAATTACAAGCATACGTATGTGGAGGGGAAGGGAAGGAGGAAAGCCAGCAACATCTTAACTAGGTTGTGACTAAGAGCATGTTGGAGTATTTACCGTGTAGATGTTTTCTCCTGCTCCTCCTGTTCCTGTTTCTCAGCAAGTTCACGAATGGCCACCAGCAGCTGCTGATTCTGTAGTTGCAACTCCTCAACATTACGATACGTTACAAGGTGCTGTGTAATGACTTCCGAGGAACTGCTTATATCAGCAGAACTAACTTCATCCTCACGCAGAATATGGTTTCCACGTGCATCCTCCAGTTCCATCAAAAGAACTCTATTCTGAACCACAAACAAATGGGCTTAACTTGTGCATTCCAAGTCAGATACAAAGCAGTTGATGTAAGCCATGTGCTGTGTCAGATGTGTTTCAGTGAGCATACAGCAACAAGAGAAATACATGCAAACACGAGAGAAAATGACAAATGCACTGTTGCAGATGCACAATAGCAAAACAAATTGTGTAGTCACAAATTTAAACTTTTTCCTCCAAAAGATTTCTGTGCAGAGCATGATGGATGCATAATTTTATGTAATGTGGCACATATTAATTGATCTTATCTGTTACCAATGTGACAGACTGAGGAAATGAAACTCAAATCCTTGCCGCGTATCAACCTCGTTTGGATATGCCACTCCCTCGTCACCATTTCAACAGCAGTCTGGGAAAACGGCTATGATCCTTGATCAGAAAAAGCATAGAACATATGAAAGCAAAACATGCAACCTTTAGTTACCAACCTGTTGAGAGAGGTCTGACACTTGCATCTTTAATCTCTGGTTCTCCCTGGTGAGCAGTGAAGAATGTTTATTCGCTTCATCAGTGCCTTTTTGCAAACGCCGAATTTCCTACAGAGGAAAGTAAGTTTTACCAGTATGTTGAATCCCAATGTATTGGCATTTCTCAAGAAGCTGAGCAAGTCATCAGTTTATTTTTAAGTTTAAGTTTTAAGTTTATTTTTCAAGTTCAAATCTTTTGCAGTAAATTGTGAAATGCACTTCTAAAAATATAACCAGTCCAAGATTATCACGATTAAAGGGACATTACAGAATCTTCTGTCAACTCTTAACATGGATGCAGATACACAGTCAAGATCTAGGTGTGCAGCACAAGATACTTTTTGTTTTATTAGTCAAATATTTGTTTGCTTTTAGCTTTTGATTCAATACTAGAGAAAAAGTTTGAAGTTGTTCTTATTGTGTCTAATTTATTTAAGGTACATTACTGACTTGCATAACAACTTCACCAATCCCATAAACAACCTTCCAAGTTGATTACTCCATCAGGTTACCACAAAACACAATATAGTCAGCTTTTGTTGTCACAGTAGATTTTAAATAATTAGATTGCTAAGAAAAATGAATAAACATCTACATATATTTTATCTTGCATACTGTCTGCCAGCACAATTACTTCACTTGCTATCATTATTTTGATACTACAGCTTTAGGTGGTGCAGTTTCCCATATTTTGCACTTGGAGGTCAAAGTCCAGTGATTGCCAAGAGCTCTGATTATTAACAACACTGGGAGAATGGAAGCAGCTTCAAGTCTGCTCCACCATTCAAGATCACAGCAAGTTGTCTACCCCAATGCCATTTTCCTATATGGGAATTATATGACTTAATGTCATTTGTTTCTAGAAATGCATCAATCTCTACATTGATTTCCAAAAAGTATTTAATAAGATACCACACAAAGCTACTTAAGATACTGCCCCAACACCATGGATTGTATTTTAGCATTCAGACAGGCGATTGGTTAACTGAAAGAAGTCAAAAGTTGCGATAAAAGGAGGCATTTTCAGGATGGCAACCTGTAATTTGTGGAGTGCCATAGGGATCAGTGCTGGGGCCAAAAATTATTTTCAATATATATTGTTGACTTAAATGAGGAAAGTGAATGTCCTGTCACCAGGTTTACACATGACAAAAACAGATGGATAGGCAAGTAGTGAAGATGACAAAATTTACTGAGGGGTATAGACAAGTTAAGGTGAGTGGGCAGAAACTTGGAAGATGAAATACAATGTGGAAAAATGTGAGGTCATGCACTTTGCCAGGAAGAATAGAGGAGCTGAATATTATTTAAAGGAAAAAGACTACAAAGAGTTACTGTACAGAGGGATCTGGGGGACCTCATGCATGAATCATAAAACATTAGCACCCAAGTTTGGCAGATAACAGGGAAGGCACGGCTGACATTTCTTTCAAAAGAGAATGGAGTATAAAAATAGGAAAGTCTTACTGAATCTGCAACAAGGAACTGGTCAGAACACACTAGGAATACTGAGAACCAGATTTTGTCTCCTCAACTAAGCAAAGAGGCAGTACAGACAGGTTTCACTAGGCACACCCCAAGTATGGAGGAATTTCCAAGGGAAGAGGACTCGATAGGGAACCTGCAGCAACTTATGTCAGAGTAGATAGGAGTTGCATGTGGGGATCCTACACAACCTCATCACAACACCCTTTAAAAAAGTATTGCCCAGGAAAATAGAATTTTCCACTGGAAACTTTCTATGCTGCTTGGAACCCTCCAAAAGACTATTTAAATTGGTGATATGAATATTCCGATGAAGTAGCATTAGCCAGGGAAGGCCAGAGAAGGCCAGACTATTAAATACAATCCAACTCCCAAGAACTGTTCAACAGACACCCGTACCTACTTCACACCCACAGCTCAAATGCACGCTGCCTTCTATCATAAAACAAATGCAAGAGTGGCAATCTGCAGGAGAATACCACTCCTCCAGAAATGCAGCCCATTTTTTTCCTCTGGCATAATCTCAGAGTAAGAGAAGACAGATGAGAAGGAATTTCTTCTTAGAGGGAAACGGATCTGTGCATTATATACTCCAGAGAGCTACTGAGGCAGAGATGGGCACCTTATTAGTTAATTAAAAGAGAATTGAGGATTATGGGGATATGGCAGAAAAATGGAGTGAGGGATCAGATTACTAATGATCTGGTTGAATGGCAGAGCTGACTTGATAGGGTGAATGTCCTCCTTGCATACCTGTCTTATGGTGTTGAACATAATTAATGACAGAACCTCCAAAACCGATATCAGAATTCCATGTATTCACTACAGTGAATGAAGAAATTCTTCAACACCTTAGCTTTCAGGTTAGTCCGAGACTTGGTTGCAGGCCCCAACCCCAAAAGGAAGTGAAAACAAAAGAAAGCTAAATCACAACTTAAAACTGAAATTACCTTCATGGCATCTTCTAGTTTAGCCGAGAGATGTGCTACAGCCTTCTGCACCCGCTCATATTCTTCCCGCTGACGCTTCAAAAGTGGAGCCTTCATCTCCACTTCTTTCACAATTTCAGCCAAATATTTGTTCACTCTCTTGTTTTCCTGTTTTGCCAGTAGCAATTGGTCTTGGGCTTCTACATATCCGTTGTATAACTATGCAGAGTAAAAAAAAAAGTTAGTGTAAAGGATATGATCATGAGTGTGCTTACTTGGCTTCAGCTTTGATTGCAACCACAAATTGCCTGGCACTGCAACAATGAAAGAGGACCTTCAAATAGACCTCAAGAAAAGCACATGTCTGCATCAGTTATTTAATGCTTTGTAACAAACATGACTTGACTGACACTAGCATCATACCTCTGTAAGTTTCATTCCCGGCTTTACAATCTTAGCAACAGCTGCTGCAGTGGGTGACATAGCTGCCAGTTCCTCTTCTGAAAGGGTGGCTGCTCCTACAGTGGAAATTACAAGCAGTTAGATAATACAGCAAACAAAACATGTTGTTATGGAACCATCATTCAGAATCAAACTAAATATCTGCACCTTTACGTTTCGTAGCTGACAGGAGATGATTAGCATTTTCCAATTCTTTTTCAAGTTTGTTGATCTTTTCATTCAGCTCAGCAACTACTCTGGTCTTGGAGGCATCGACCTCAACCAGTCGATCTTCAGTTATTTTATGGGCTACAACAAATAATTCCAAAAGATACTTAGTTTTATACCTAATTTACAACAAGAAAAATGATTGCTTGATGTAGCAGTTTAACCTTCATTTGCTTGTTTCAGTAGACTATGAAGCTCCTCAACTGCTCTGGTCAGTTCAGTTGCCTTCACTTCAGCATCATCTGCAGAACCCTGCAATTCACCGAAAAGATTGTATTCATATATTAGATACATTTTATGTATTTCAGCATTTACATACAGATAGTCACTGTTTTTCAAAGAGATAAGATCACACTGTAATCAATGAATCGCTTAAGATTGGTAGGGGAAAAATTATTATCAACTTTAGGTCATGAGCATCGTTAATAATACATGCACTACTATTACCCTTTTCCAACAATTCTATTTGGTAAATGTGTCATGTCCAGTAATGGGCAAAACTGGTCTTCTGTTGTGAAAATGATGAAGTAAGGGTACAGCAGACAGCTATGTATAGAAGAAAGGGTCACTGGACCCGAAATGTTAACTCTACTTTCTCTCCACAGAGTGTCAGATCTGCCAATTTTTTCCAGCAATTTCTGTTTCTGATATCGGCATCCGCAGCTCTTTGTTTTTTTCTTACTGTGCGAGGACTTACTGCATTTTCTAGGAGAGCAAAGTTACTGACTGTCGCTGCAAGTTTTGATTACATTGCTTTTGTGCTCAAGTAGAGGGGGAAGCATATAGACAGGCCAGCATCAGGAAATGTGTATAATTAATTTGCAGTCAACAACAGGTTATTGGTTGGTTTGTGGAGTTGCGACCAGTTGTGAATACAGGTGGTCATCAGCCTTACAACTCAGGTGATACTTCTGGATAGCTGAATAGCTTGTGGGTGCTAATGATAGTGAAACAAGCATTTAGGTGGCGAAAGGGCAGATGGTGCATCTTTTTTCTTTCCAGTAAAATACCTAAAGTCTGAATAAAGTCAGTTTATCTTCCCTTGCCAGTTGCTGCAAGCTGAAGTTTACCAGTAATTAACTTATCCAATTGCCTGTGCATCCTGTTAAGTGAAAAGAACCTGGATAAGAGAATGAAGATTGGAAAAACTTGCCAACACGGATTATCCCAGTAAACCTTGTTAGCTGGAGTCACTCAAATGCCTCTCCACTTTTCTGCCCCCTCCACCTATAGTAATGTTTTAACTATGCACATGAAGAGGGCTGTGGGTGTGGGGCATGTAAGTGCATTTAAAAGGGGATTAGAGTTTTAACTAGGAGTTATGTTGGCAGTTCATAGAGATTCTAACCAGAGGTAGCTAACTATTCATTTGTAAGGCCTAATTGTTAAGTCCAGAAACAGACCATATTTACTGTTAGCCCAAGTTTATTCGATAGACAATGCTTAAAGTTGAACTTCTGTAATGGGTCACAATGGGAGGACTTGATTTTCAGCATACTACCTTAGTGGCCATGATCTCAGGGAATGGTGGTGCAAACTCAAAGAGCTGGATGGCTTGCTGCTGCTCTTACATCTTATGGTGTGGGGTGTATAAGATAATTTAAAAAAAATAAACTCAGTTAAAAACTAGCATGCAATAGTTATGTCACTGTTCAGTTACTTCACTAAGCGACTCACTGGCCTCAACTTGGCTCAAAAATTATGCCAAAGAAAAACCGTACAGGGCTTTGACTCCAATGAAACTAAAAACATCGTTGGTCAGTTGGACATGCACAATTCCAACTGACAAATTACTGTTTGTGATTCCGCATTCTTCCACAGGTTGCTCAGTTAAAGTCTTGCAGATTGATCATCTTGCTTTTCAAAGAAAATTACTGCTTAAGCCACAGATGTAATTGATGTACCAAGTTTAATTACTGAACTCCCTTAGACTCTGTTTAACATCAGTGTCGGTAAAACACAGGTCTGACAGTCATGAGAAGTGCTACATTAACGCAAAACAGGTACAGACTTGCTTGAACTAAATCAAATTAGCACATTGTGCACAATTCACCGTCAATACAAAGCCAAATAAACACTTGCACAACAATGAATGCCACAGGCAGTAGCCGAGACCAAATCAAAGGCACGTCTTTGTAATGCGTAAGCAGACAAAGCAGGGCACACTTTCATAGCAAATTTCAACTTTCGGCAATGTTGAAATTTTAAGTAATGTAATGATACTGCCCATATCCTAGATATGTTGACTAATATCTCAGTTGAATGGAATGTATTCAACGTAGATACTTAAATATGCTCAATTATAGTCAAAGGCAAAAAATTTGATCAACGGGAACTGGAAAAGCGCAGGGATGCACAACTTTGTTTTAATTTGAAGTTTTCAAATTCAGCATAAAAGTCAACATAATTTAGTGAAGAATTTGACTGTGCACTCACTTGCTATACTAAAGAGGCAAAAATGGTAACAGACAGATAAAATTAAATATTTGTGAAAAGATGTGACAGGCTGATTCCTATTAATGTTTCAACTGTATTTGATAATGCCACAAAGAAATATTGAACCACCAAATAATCCTTTAGCAAAATAACTCATCTTCCCAGCTTAAAATCCTCCCTATGAAACATCTCAGAATGCTATTTTATGTCAGTCACTGTGTAAATGAAAGTTGTACAATGCAGCTATTTTAACTATATTAGCTTCCAAAGCATTCAAAGTTTATATTAAAAATGCATCATAAGCTGTACACAAACAGAAAGTTTACCTTGTACAAGTTTGACAACTTCACATGAGCATTCAGTTCATTTCGAAACCTCTCCTCCATGGTTGCCGACTGCTCCTTAGACTAGGAAAAGAAAGCATACAAGTTTTTTTGGAATATTCACATACAAAATGATCATTTCAAAAATGAACTGAAGAACTCTACTGTAGGGTTCCGTTATTTTCAATAATCAATCATTTTGGTCTCATTGAATTGTTACTATTTCTTCATTTACGGGATGTAGGCGTCATTGGCTGGCCAGCATTTGTTGCCCATTCCTGAATGCCCTAGAGGTGGTGGTAGTGAGCTGCCTTCTGGAACCGCTGCAGTCCTCCTGCTGTGGGTTGACCACAATGCCATTAGGGAGGGAATTCCAGGATTTTGACCCAAAGATAGTGAAGGAAAGGTGATATATTTCCAACTCAGGATGAATGGGTGGCTTGGAGGGAACTTGAAGGTGGTGATGTTCCATATATCTGCTGCCATTGTCCTTCTAGATGGAAGTGGTTGTGGGTTTGGAAGGTGCTGTCTAAGGATCTTTGGTGAATTTCTGCAGTGCCTCTTGTAGATCGTACACACTGCTGCTAATGGGCTTCGGTGGTGGACGGAGTGGATGTAGTGCCAATCAAGTAGGCTGGATGTGGTCCTCGAGTGAGGAATTGCGTTTTTTCTTTTTATTCATTCACAGGGTGATGGCATCGTTGCTGGGCCATCATTAATTACCCAGACAGCAGTTTAAAAGTCAACCAGATTGCTGTGGATCTGCAGTCACATGTAGAACAGACCAGGTTCCGATGGCAGTTTCCTTCCCGAAAGGATATCAGTGAAACAGGTGGGGTTTTTCAGAGATTTGCTAACGGTTTCATGGTCATCATTAGACTCTTAATTCCAGATTTTTTTAAAAAATTGAATTCAAATTCCACTATCTGCCATGTTTGGGATTTGAACTGTGGACCCCAGAACATTACCTGGGTCTCTGGATTAACAGGCCAGCAATAATACCAGTAGACCACTGCCTCTCCTAATTAAGGAAGTGTTGCTTAATTGAAGTTAGTTGTTAAACAGTTTCTTTAAAAGAGAAAAAAATCCACATGACCAAGGTCAAGAGTAAAATTTTGGCTCCGGATTTTTCAGCTGTTATCGCTGAAGCTAATGTAAACTTGGACTAATACATGCAAGAATGCTTAGAGGTCAAATTAGCTGTCTTTGAATACTCAAAGACAGCTATCTTTAGAGATAACAAAGTATACCAGATGACAAGGTGCATTGGCTAATACAGTCATTTTGAGCTTAAATTTATTTTAGGCATTGATCATTATTGACAAGGCAAACTTAGCTTTTGTAATTAAGGATATTATTAGGTTTTGAAGAATATGCCAATGCATCTTCTGGGATGACGCAATAACCCGGAGATGACATTTTCTATGCAGATTCATAAGTTGTACATTAGATTGTTAATTAATTAAGGTGACAACAGTCAACTTAGAGAGACTAGCTGTTATAAAAGGGATGGTCAAATGATTGGCATGTTAAAGAATAATAGCACAAAGATGACCATTAAAGAATTTAAAAGCAACCATAGACAACCTAGGCAATTCAAGAGTGACCGTGAACTGCCCATCATGAAGGAAATAAGAATAATTCAGGGTGCCTTTGACCACCGAGGGGGTAGTGGATACATTTGAGCCATTAAAACTGAGTGTATGTGTGATACTCCCTCTACACAAAGTGGGGTAGGAGTTGGATTAGGGAAGGGAAAGAGAAAGAGAAAATAATAAATGATGAAGACAGAAAAACTTCAAATCAGCAAAACAGAACGATAAGCCTGTGTTCAGTCACTGTCAAAAACTGACTTACCAACATGGATAGGCCTAAAACCACTTGTTCTTAATTATTTGTTTTTTGCACTGATCTTCATAACTTGAATTCTCTCCCACTTGTGCAAACGTGTTTATACTTCAAAATGGGTATTGTAACAGTGTGAATGTAAATTCATTCTCTAAATGTCTAATTATAAATGCACATCTTATAATAAGTTTAAATTAAACCCTCAATTCTCATTAAGCTTTACAAATACCATCACAGACCAATTACAAGGCAATTCAAATTTCATTTATGCTCCATAAGTTTAAGTTGATCTTTGTTGCTATTAAGTTCCACAACTACTGTCGTGGATTGTCTACAATGCTTCGTGCTTAAAACATGAAAACTAAAATTTTACATAAATTGGCAGACAAGCTTGCCCAAGAAACCTGATGTATTATATAGCTGTTACTTCAATTCTTGAAATTTTTTTGGAATAGGCAAGATGATCAATAACAGAAAATAGCTAATAAACTTGAGCAACATCGCCAGTTTTGAAATACTAGACCTTATTGTAGAATTGAGAATAAACTAACCTCTTTCAATTTACTCATTAATTCTTCAATCTGCTTCTCAAAATTTTCCTTAGCCACTTTCAAAGTCTGGATCTGCTCTTCCATACTGCACATCTGCAAAAGGCAATTAGAATCAACACTCAAAAGTGGAATAAAGCCAAGTCCTGCCCCAGCGTCAAGTATTGCTCTAAATAAATACAAAAATTTAGGTGCTATGTTTGCCTTAAGTCAGATGGGATCAAGCCTCATCCTAAATTAAGTACAATCTAGAGCATGTACTTGGTCAGTTATTTTTTTAAAATGTTTTAAACTGAGAACCCTTCAGTCAATTCTGATGCACACAAGATTCCATGACATTTATCAGCGAAGAATGGAGACAACATTGTCAATAAACATTGATCCCCCATCAACACCGAAAAAACTGGAATGGCCAATTTGTGGAATCTTGATGTATCCAAGGTGTCCCCCATTTGGCATAGATTACTGTCCATCTATTTACAAAAGCACGCTTTAGGAAGTCCCCCGCAAACAAGACAATGAATAAATTATGCAAAACCCAAGGTATACTTTACCTCATCTTTTTTGTTCTCTAGAGTGCATCTAAGTTCAAGAATTTCATTGCTCTTTTCACGACGAAGCTCAAGTAGCTCATCAGTCTTGGTTTTTAATTCTGCATTCAACCAACTATTCTGGTTCATCAATAACTCCTTTTCCTGTTCAAGGCGTTTTTCACGATACTGCAAGGAAACCATAGTTTTATAACTACATATTTGGAATATCTGTTAGGAATACATTGCCATATGATTGCTGATGTGCATAGAGAAGACAGATTTTCTGATAAAACAATAACATTAAAAAACAAATTCGGAGCAAGCGTGGCCATCTGGCCGTCAAGCCTGCTCAACCATTCAATAAGATCATGATTGATTCAACTGTTGTCTCAAATCCAGATTCCCACCTACATTCAATTCTCAACCAATGTCAAGCTACATCTGCCTTTAAATGCTACAATGCTTTAATATTTTGGATTATGTGACTGACTGCAAACAACCAAATATGGTATCCTGGCCATGAAAGAATGTTTGTACATCAAGCCCAACTGGACATACAAGTACAGATGTACTTCAGACTAAATCTAACATTTTGTACTAATAGTTAGCTTGTACAAGCTTGGATTTCTTCCAAGCTATGAATGTTTATTATGCATTAGTGAGTCACAAAATATTTGATCTACTTTCAGCCAAACAACCAGCTTGATGATATTTCATGTGCACAACTGTTTTCCATGATCAGCTCAATGTCTCCTGATAACTGAAATACCATACAAACATGAAGCTTGAAACTATCAAAGAATACTCTATTTTAGTTCCAATTTACTGACAATTCTAGAATCTATTTCAAATCTGCAATTCAATGCAGCGCTCACTGGGATAACCCAATAGAACTCTATTTCCACTTCTTAACAACCTTCTGAATATTTATTTCCACACTGCCCCATCTTTAGAGATGGGCAGAACAAGAAAAGTCGCCAGACTCTTGTGATGCAGTATCAGTGACCCTATCTTGAGGCAGAAGATTCAGATTCAAGTCTCATCTGCTCTTAAGGTGCGTCATAACATGTCCCAACAGATTTGTTAAAAATTTTCAGAACAAGGAGGTCAATGTTGCTTCAGAAGATGCTGAAAGATTGACAGCCCAGCTACAAAGAATACCTACTTTCGCTTGCCAGAAAAATACCAGACACTCTGCAGCATTGTTAACTCTTATTTATCCTGGATACAAAAATCAGCCCTGATCACAGTAATCCACCTAATTGTCATGGACACCAACCACAATCTACATGTTCCTCACTCTAACCAAAAATTTAGGCTATGCTATTTTGGCCTTAATAGTATCAGGACCTCAGCATTCAACACACAATTGTACCTGATAATATGCTTCAACTTGTTTCCCCACCACCCTCACATGCTCCCCATACTCCTCCTTCTGAGAGATTGAGATTTTCAATCAGAAATGCAGACTACCCACTGAGCATCCATAATCCTCTCAGTTAGCTCTGAAATGATAAATGATTAGTTCCTTATCCCAAGAATAGTTCTAGATTACACAGCTAGTGGGGCTGTTTCCGGTCTCTCTACCCTGTCAAGCTAGTATGTTATTTTCATCAATGAAAGCACTTTTAAAATTGAGACCGTTGAACTCAGGTTATGATAAGACAACTCACTCAAACCAGGAATTAATCCAAGGAGACCTTCACTGCACTAACAAGGCAAGCATCTTTCCTTAAATATGGAGACCAAACTTTGTATAATTACAGCATGACTTGCTTTTTATCTACACCCATCCACCCGTGCCATTCAATTTCTTTGCAAAGGCCAAAATGTCATTTGCCTTCCTAATTGTAATCCTAATCCCAATTCTATTTTATGCCTACATGCTTGTAGGAGTACTCAAAATATTTCTGAAGAACACTGGAAATCTTTAGAAGTGTCAAAAAACTTGTCACTTTTCTATTCACATGACTGAAGTGAATCATCTCACTTCCGCACGCTATACTACACTGGTCATCTTGTTTCTAATTTACTTAACCTGGTCACATCTCTGCAGCCTGTGCCTTCTTGAAGGCTTATATTCTCATTTAACAATGCATCATGTGCAAATTTAGATACACTAATCTCCATCTTCATGATGAGTTGAGGCCTGAAAATTAATGTTTTTTTTTTAACCAACCCACAATCCACAGCCCCCAACTTTGAACATGCAATTCTTTTTTCCTGACTAATGCTCTATTCTTGCTAATTATGATTACTCCTAATCTGGCATATCAACTTTGAGTATGGCAGTTTTTTGGACACCTGTTCTGAAATCAATGTACATTCTTCATCTATCTCAAAACTAAATTTGTCAGTCACTACTTTTGTTTTTGTAAAACTATCTGATCATACTTCAATTAAGTACATTGCTGAAACTTGCTTCAAGATCTCATTTTATTTCCTTGGTGATGGATGGCAGGCTTCCAATTTCTCTCTCCTTCCTTTCTTGAAGACCAATGTTACAGTTGCAAAACTTCTGATTAACTGTGATGGCTCAACAATCGAAGGAATTTTGGATAATCAGAAACAACATATCCACTATCGCTGCAGCTACCATTTGGATGCAGACTAATGGATAGAGATTAGAGAAACTGAAGTATGGCAATGGCACGAATTACAGTAAGCTCCTTTTGTAGTACTTCAAGTACTCTGCTTCTGTAATTCACACAACATTTAGCCAAAGTTTCTACTAATCCCTCACTGCATCAAGTAATTTATACGATTCCTGCACTGAAGGAGAATTTGCTGAAGGAAATTTGCTTTCACGGATTTGTAAATTGCTAATGTTCCACACAGTCAGCCCAACCTGGAATGCAATTCTGACTGCTGATCCAGTTTAGTTAGAATACAGTGACAAAGTCAAGCAAGGCAATGAAAAAAAAACTATGATTTTCTATTTTAGGCCATTTCTAAAAATCCATGCGCCACTGAATTTCAAGAATTTAAATTTGAAGACAGAATGAATGTTTCAACCTATAGTGACTGACAGATTAAGCAATTCTACACAGGCACTCACCTTAATAGAGACTTCCGATACCTGAAGTTCATCAAGTTTTAACTGAAGATCTATCTTTGCTGAATTCGCTTCTACAAGTTTATCATTTAGACATTTCAAATCCTCTGCAAAGACAAATATTTAAATCTACAGGTCAAAGGATTTCTCCACCCACTCCCCAAAGCATTTTGCAAGAGCATGCATATCTCCGACCAAGTCCTGTCTTCCTTCATTTCAAGTGGAATGACAACACACTGGACTTTTTCCCCCAGTCAATATATAGGAAACGAGAGAAGCAGGCCTATAGGTAGACAAGAATATTTAAACCTGATCCACTTCTTTAGAGTCAAGCTTGCATTAACTAACAGTGATAAACTAAAACAGTTGTTTGGAAAATACTTTAATGATTAAAAAAAATTTTGACATTGGATCATCAACATTTGAAATTACATGTGCATTAAAGGCTCAATAGATCTTTCCCAACATGTTAGCAAATCTGTCAAAAAGGTGAAGCAAACTTCAAATCAACTTATTAATACATACCATTCAAGTGTTCCACTTCCTGTGACCGACGCTCAAGTGTTCTCACCAGTTCTCGTTTTTCGTTATCCAACTCATCCTTTGTGCGAGAAAGTTGGCTCTGTTTTACAATTTTAAAACATCAAGTTAACTTTCCATTTTCCGTTTAGCTTTTCCAAATCTGACCTCCTGGGGGTTACCATTGACCAAAAATTGCAATGGATCAAACATATGAATACTGTGGCCACAGGAGGTGGTCAGAGGCTGGGAATTCTATGGTGATTAAGTCAACTTCTTGACAAGTCTGTCCGCCAGCTACAATGCACAAATCAGGAGCGTGATAGGATACTCTCCACACTGATCCAAATGACCACGGATCCAACACCATCCAGGAAGAAAAACCAACCATCTGCTTAGATTTGCTGTCCCTCCACCACAAATGCAACATATACCCTTTACAAAACACACTGTACCAACTCCCCAAACTCCAACAGCATAAGCCTGCAACCTCAATACTACAGAACAAGGGCAGCAAACATTTGGAAACACCATCTGCAAGCTCCCCTCCAAACCCCATTCTGATTTGGAACCAAAACCCAGTTGCTATATTAGACTGGATCAAGATCCTGGTGCTCCATATTAACACTGCAGACTTATCTGTATCAAAATGGACTGCAGAAGTTTAAGAAGGTGGGTCACCTTCTTAAAGTGGTAGGAAGTAACAACATCCCATGAATAAAAATAAAAACATGAACGTAAAGTATTATCATTTACTGAAATTAGGTAGTCACGTCCCAGCAATCCATTTATGTCTGGAACCCCCCACCGCCGTTTTACTACAGACGGTAGATGGATGTTCTCGCATTTCAAGTTTTCATATCTTTCCAGACCTTGATTCTTTCAAAGGTTCATTCCTTTACCAATGTGTTTCCTTACTCAATTCTTGCACTGGACTACTTATATTTATTGTACATCCCTCATTGTATTTGAATCTTTTGCAACCTCTTATGGATCCTGCAGCAGTTCAGAAAGAACACATCCCTTCGGTACAACTGATTCACATCAGAATATTATTGTTGCCAGTGTCCCATAAAATACACAAACATTTACAGCACAGGAGCTGGCCATTCAGTCCATCATGTCTACAAAGATCACACCATGCTAACCTCACTACTCAAGTGAATACAAAAATACTGCTTAAATGCTACGAGATTTCCGACTCGACCCACACGTTCACGGAGGAAGTTCTAAAATCCCACCACTTGCTGAACAAAAACATTGGTCATCAATTCTCTCTCCACGCTCTACTTCTTACCTTAAATATATGCCCCTGGGTTAGTGATCCCCCTTTACTAACGGAAAAAGTGCTTTCCTATCCGTGCAAATCATCTTACACATCAGTATCAGAACCTCTTCCAACCCCTCACACACAACAGCTCAAGCAGAGTCTTTACAAGTTTCCTCTGTAGCATCTCTAGTGTGTCATATAACGGCCCTTAACATCTTTAAATAACACCTTGATTGAGTTATGGGGGTCTAGTTGTTTGGAAACAATCTTCTTGTTAGCTTCAGTTTGTAGTTAAATGGGAGTACGGGTAAAGTAAAAGCAGTTCCCTAGTGGGCTCCACCACAAGCTGCTCCAAAACGCCATCTCAGACATTCCACAAACTCCTGTTCTTGCAATCCACTATCACCCTGATTTTCCCAGTCCACCTGCATATCGAAATTCCCCATGATCACTAACTTTGCCTTTCTTAAACATCTTTTCTATCTTCTGGTCTATCCTGTGCCCCATATCCTGACTACGGTTTGGAGGCCAGTACATAACTCCCATTATGGTTTTTTACCTTTCCTCAATTGTACCCACAGATTCTAAATTGTTTCTGGCTATTGACTTAATTTCATTTCTTACTAATTAAGCAACTCCAACACCTCTACCCACTTGCTTTTCTTTCCAATAGGATGCATATCCTTGGATATTTTGCTCCCAGTCCGGATTTCCTTGCAGCCACGTTTCTGTGACACCCACCACATCATACCTGCCAGTTTCAATGTTCGCCTCAAGCTTGTTTAACCTTATTTAGTGTACTGCATGCATTCACATACAACACTGTTAGTCCTGTGTTTACCGTCCTTCTTCTCACTAAGCACACTGGATAAAGGGATGGCAAAGTTTGATTCCTAACCCTTTTCGAACACTATCCTATTTTGTGTTCTGGAGACTTTAATAACCCCTCCTGAGTTCTGCTTTCTTTTCACTTTCTTCATACTTTTCCAAGCAGTTGAATCCACCCCAACAGATGTTAACCTGGTTTGTCTCCCATTGGTCATTTACCACTTTACCAATTTTCGTATCATACAGAAGCTGCTTGATTATACCCCCTCTACATTTACAACCAATCATTAATAGCACCACAAACACTAACAATCTGCACTGGAAACAGGCTTCCAATCTCAAACAACCCTCTATCATTACCCTCTGCTTCCAATCCAATTTTGGATCAACAATGCCATTGTTAATTTGATGCCATGTTCTCTTCCTTTCTTGAGCAATCTGCTTTGAGGAACCTGATCAAAAGCCTTGCTAAATTCCGTGTAAACCATATCAAATGCACTACCCTCATCAACATGGAGTTACTTTCTCAAAACATCTGATCAAATTTATCAAACACAACCTTGCTTTAACAAATCCTTGACTAATCTACGTAACTTCAACTGCAGATATATTCTGTCCTTCAGAATTCTTAAAAATTTCCCAAACACAGGTTAGACTGACTGGCCTAAATGGATTTCCTCAGTACCCAGTCCTCCTCTTCTGTCTTGCAGTCAGCTTTTCCATCTCTGCCTGCACTCGCGTAAGCTGCAGGTGTGACAGTGTCCTGAAAAGTGCTATCCATGAACCTGTCAGCCTTGTTAATGCACCACAGTGCCCAACCCTGCCACTCAACGTCCAAAACATACAGCTTTGAATTGCTCCAGGCAGGCGCATCTCCTGCACAAGTGTCCATCCAATTGCCACGAGGATCTAGGATTTCCCACATAGTACAGGATGTGCAAAGCATGAGCGTGAGTTCCCAAACAAATCTCAGCTAAAGAAATTATGAGCTATTGGTTTTACTTTACACTTACTCCTGTTTAACTAAAAACTGGAATCTAGAACCTCATAACACCATCAAGGTGTTAATCAAAGGTGTTAAGGACAAAACACGCTTTCTTTTCAGCAGTTAACTTTACTGATGATAGCCTACATACCCCTTTTCAGCAAACTGATGATCTTTGTCTGAATGACACTTGTAACACCCCTTGGGGTAATCTTGGGGCACATTCCCCATTTACCATCTAACATTAAATCTCTAGCTTTTAACTATGCACTTCAATTATGTAGCTTTGACAGATGAGACAATGCCACTGGCCCTGTATAGAGTTTAAATGGAGTAGGGGAATCACTTGACAGGTGAGGTCGGTCATAGATGGGTCTCCCATTTCTCCTTGGAACACCATTCCTCCTTCCTCACAGGCATTTCATCATACAAGAGAAGCAGGAATTGTTTCCAATGATGTTTCGTGTACTGTATTGATCTTTTTGCTCAAGTAGCCAGTAATATTTCTATTGTTTCGGAATTGTTTCTGCTGATTCCTTGAGAAATTCCCATCCCAGAATTACTAGTTAGGAGCAGAAGCAGGCTATTGGACTCTTCAGCCTGTTCCATCATTCAACAAGATAGTGGCTGATTTGTTGGTGTTAATTTCCAAAATGTCATCTAACATAACATCCAGTACCGTTTCATCCCGTTGCCAAGAACATTTCTTAGACAAACTACATCTCAAGCCATTTTCTTGCACAGCATACACAGAGGAAATGCCCTGCCTTACAGTGTGGAGCCAAACTTCTTCATGGTTTCCAAAAGGCAAGTGAATAATTATCTGAAGAGAAAACAAATGTGTAGAACTACCAGGAAAAATAAAGCGAGTGGGACCAGATGACTTACTGTTTACACTGACATGACAGGCCAAATGGTTCTTCTATAGTCTATACCCATTGTATTCAGTAATAATTGAACATACATGCAAGTCATTTCTAAAACACAAGCCCTTTGTTCTTCCTCCAATATATTCTCTATTCAAGGCAGTGACTAAATGGTAGAACATGGTTCCTGTAACTATTGATACCTGAACTGTGAAGTATACGCTAATAGTGCGAACATTACAGGCAATTAGTCTATGAGTCTAGAAAATTGAAGCCACTGGGAGTAGATTTCATCTGAACTACAGCTGTTGAACTCGAGGTTAACACAACTACCCACAATATCTTGCATTCAAATTGAGGCCCATTAATGTGGAACAGGTGTAGATTTTATACTAAGTATATCTGGATCAACATCCCAGTGACTTTTTTTTCTGAACGTGATGTTCAAACTCTGGAATAGTCCAAGTCCAAGTCCAAGTCCAAGTCCAAGTCCAATATTACTAGAAACACTTGTTTTATCTAATTCCAATGAGTGTTTTTTTTAAAAAATGCATAATTACAAGCTCAACAGCAAACTTGACAGAGTGAAGCACAACAGAAGGCGTATAATACACAAATTCCCATTGCTTTCTATTATACAAGGTCTTTTTAAAAAAGTTAATTGCAGTTCAATTTGTCAAGCCCACTTGGAATTTTATTAGTACTAAAACATATGTGGTAGTGAAGGAATTAAATTGATCTTTTGAAACACACGCGGAAAATTCCACATTCATTTCCACTAAAGAAATTATTCCAAATTTATTGACAAATCAATTCACCTATTTGAATAAGACATTAATCAGGCCATCTGCACTTGCTGAATTATAATCACAAAAAAAAGTCAAACAGGCGAATTTGGGAAGAGGAGAGATTGTGCATACACATCACATACCTCCACACTGATTAGATTTTCTTTAGCTGTTCCTAGTTCCTCATTTTGTGCCTTAATTACCTTCAATTGCTCATCTACAAAAAAAATGGAAAAAAAATTGCAAACATCAACCAGTCCTGAAATAATCGAATAACCATCTTCAGCAACTTTTAAACTTTAATGAAGCAAATACAATTACATAATACTTCGCTTTTCTGAAAGCTTTTTCTTTTAAAACTAGCCTTTACCATACCCAGTGTCACAAACTTCCCTCAAATAATTTAGAAACAAAAGTGGTCATTTTTCAAATTTAATATAGATGTTCATACTTACTAAGTGCAGAAAGTTCCTCACGCAGCCTTTGACATTCTTGCATCTCAGATACTAACTTTTCTTGCCCCTGGGTCAGTCGTTTTTCCACTTCAAAATACTGTTGCTCTGAAATATTAGACAAAAGTAACTTTTATTCTTTGCAACTGTCACAGCCCACAGTCACTGATTATATATTCTATGACACTGATGATATATTAGATGACTAGGTAGTACGAGTGATTTGGTGAGATGCAATAAATGCTGCATTTTTCCAGTGCACAACACCAATTAAGTACCAAATTCTAGGCAAGAAAAAAAAAAACAATTTCTAAGCAAATCCAAGCAATTAAGCACAACAAAATCACTTCCCAAAACGTAATCAAACAAATCCAGGTTCCAAGCTGGGAATAATGAAGAGGATCTATTAAAAGTCACCTTAATTAAGTGAATGGAAATTCAAGTGGAATAGCAAGCATGATAACGTTATGCAAACTAAGTAGAATCCAACAGCAGCCATTACTTCCACTTTTCAAGTTAATTTCCAGGACATGGGTATCACTGGGAAAGGTAGTAGTTATTTTCAAATTACTGGAAATGGTAGAGGGCTTCCTGAATGGTTGACAGTGGTTTGATACATCAGAACCACCCAGATCACACAAAAGGACTACTAACACCCAACATTAGTATGGCACCAGAATCACATAGGCCTGTTTGGGTAGAGCTGTCTTTGCCTAAGATGGACATGAACCAGAGAGGAGTGTACAACACTTGAACAGCTTCATGGCCACTTTGAGCAATATCAGTTTTACATTCAGATTACTTTTACCAATTTAAATTTAAATTCTCAAAATCATAAGTTCTATGTTACTGCATATATTCTGCATTCGTTCAGAAACAATTATTATGCTGCTATATTCATTATACAGCAGCATAGCAGATCTCCTTTTCAACTAAAGCGTTTGACAACCAATAATTCCAAGATTAGAAGGTAGCATGCGTGTGGATCCACGCGTATGTCCACACCGAGTCACTAGGGATTTCAAACTTAGCAACACTTATTTTTAGTGTCCTCAGGACACTACGAAATGTTACATAAGCAATCAATTATTTAAAACTATTACAAAAGTCATAATAGTTTTAAAAAGCAGGCCATCATTAAAAAAAAATTACACCAAACATCTGATTGATGGATTTATTGTCACATGCAATGAAATAGTGAAAAGCTTTGCTTACAAGCAGTACAGGCAGATCACAACAAGCAAAGGATATACAGATCAAAAAGACTTAGAGGCATACATGTTACATTATTTGAGGCTAAAATCCATTCAACAATCCGATAATGGCCAGAAAGAAGCTGTTCCTGAACCTGCTTGTGTGTGTGCGCGCGTTTTATGTTTTTGTATCTTCTGCCTGATGGAAGAGGTTGTAGGGGGTCATCACCAGGGTGCGATGGGTCTTGGATAATGCTGGCTGCTTTTCCACAGCAGCAAGCTATGTAAGTAGAGTCCGTGGATGGAAGGTTGGCTTCCGTGATGCTCTCAGCTGTGCACACAACCTTCTGTCGTTTTTTTACAGTCCTAGGTACAGCAGTTGCCAGTCTGCACCATTGAATGCATGCTGTCCAGGTGCATCAGTAGAAGTTGGTGAGGGATGTTCTAGACATGCCAAGTTTCCTGAGCCGCCCAAGGAAGAGGCATTGTTGTGTCTTCTTGACTGCCACATTTACATGGGAGTCCAGGTAAGGTTGCTGGTTATCATCATTCCGAAAAACTCAATGCTCTTCACACTCTCAACCTCCATTGCGTTATGTAGATACGGGCGATGTTCTCCTTTCTTTCTGCAGTCAATGATCAGTTCTTTAGTTTTGCCGATGTTGAGAGACAGGCTGTTTTCACTGCACCACGTCACCAAGCCCTCTTTCCCTTCTGTATCTTGACTTGTCATTGTTAGATATCCATCCCACTACACCGGCGTCATCAGTGAACTTGTCAATGGCATTTGTTCAAAATTTGGCAACACAGTTGCAGATGTACAGGGAGTACAGTAGGGGGCTGAGGACACTTTTTTTTGGGGACGGGTTGCCTCCAGTGTTCAGACTTATTGTGGAGGTGGTGCAGTTGACGATTGCAGCCCATGAATCAGAAAGCTCGGGATTACGTTGCAGAGGGCAGAGCCAAGACCACAGTCAAGCAGTTTTGAGATTAGTCTGAAGGGGATAATGGTGTTGAAGACAGAGCTGTAGTCAACAAGCAGGAGTCTGATGCAGACATCTTTGTTGTCCAGATGTTTCCGGGATGAGTGCAGGACTAGGATATGGCATTGTCTGTGGACCTGTCATTTTCATAGAATCTCTACAGTGTGGAAACAGGCCCTTCAGCCCAACAAGTCCATACCGACCCTGAGAGCATCCCACCCAGACCCGTCCCCCTATAACCTACCAAAATCTACACATCCCTCGACACTATGGGGAATTTTTCGTGGCCAATCCACCTAGTCTGCACATTTTTGGACTATGGGAGGAAACCGGAGCACCCAGAGGAAACCCACGCAGACACAGGGTGCAAACTCCACACAGACAGACATAGTCGCCTGATGGTGGAATTGAACCTGGTTCCCTGGCGTTGTGAGGCAACAGTGCTAACCACTGAGCCACCGTGCCACCCCGAAATGTTATGTCAGTAGGCAAACTGTAGGGGATCGAGGCAGGTTGGGAGATTGGAGCTGATGTGGGCCATGCCCAGCCTCTCGAAGCACTTCATGGTTACTGAAGTCAGAGCTATTGGGCAGTAGTCATTAAGGCACACTGCTTGTGTTTTCTTGAGTACGGGGATGATGGTGGTCTTCTTGAAGTAGGTGGGGACTTCAGCTTGAATGAGGGAGAGGTTGAAGAGGTCGGTGAATACCTCTGTCAGTTGCTCCGCACAGGATCTGAGTGTTCGGCCGGGGGCACTGTCCAGCCCATCGCTTTCCTTGGCTAACTCCCAGGAAGACTGATCTGACTTCTGAAGCAGTGACCGAGGGAACAGGTGCATCCAAGGCTGTCAGGGCAGGCACTGCCACACTGGTGGTATTCTGCTCAAACTGAGCATAAAAAGTATTGAGCGCATCAGGGAGGGATGTGTCTTTGTCCACTAACTTACCCGGTTTCATTTTGTATCCCGTAATGTCATTTAGGCCATCGACGGCTGAGTCTGTTCGGTAGGTCTGGGCCTCTAACTTGATCTGGTACTGTCTCTTGGCTTGCCCAATGGCTTTGCGGAGGTCATATCTGGATTTTCTGTATTGGTCCGGATCACCCGACTTGAAAGCTGCCCGTCTGGTCTTCAGTAGGGAGTGAGATTCCTGGTTCATCCAAGGTTACGGTTGAGGAACGCTCAGATTGACATCTTTGGTACACAGTCCTCCACGTGCTGCAAATGAAGTCCGTGACGGTGGTGGCATACTCGTCTACGTTTTCTATTGAACACTTGAACATGGTCCAGTTTTGGTAGCGCACATCCAGGAATTGACACTGGCCAGATAGTACTTCTCATTGTTCAAAAAATGAGAGGTTGGATTCATGCTATGATCACTTGCGCAGGGAAATAATTTACTTTTAAATGTATTAAAAATGTTTTGATCATAACAAAGTAGCACTACCTCACTCACTTGTTGTGATGTAGCAGTGTTAATTATGTGGTCACATCCCGAGTGGTTGAATCTGTACGCATCTGACTCAGGTCAGCTTAGTACTTTTCATATTCTCATGTAAATTAAAATAACTGCAAAACTGAATCAGATCAAAATTTTTGCATGTGGACAAAAATGTCATATTGCACTGGTTAAAATGGCAACAACTCAAAAGTACTCTTAATAAACCCAACACCTACACCATGAGCAACCAGTTTAAACGAGCCAAGCTTTCTACTTAAGAGAAGTGTTTATATTCTCTAGTATAACACAGAGAAAACAATGCTTCATCTGTTTAATACATGATTTCATCTGATTATGAAATAGATACACATACCCATTCCAACTTAACAAGCCCATTGACAAACTCCATCCAGTAAAATATCATTAATGCTCCGAAACTGTGTGGAATGAATTAAGGAAACTACAAATTACAATGCCTGACTCTCTGTAAATTAGAAGAAAATTCTTTGAGATGGTACTTGTAGCCTTTCCTATGTACACACATTGGCCAACTAAACTACACAGTCCATTAAATTTCATTCAACACGGCAGCATAGGAGGTTGAAGGGTGACCTTTTAGAGTTTTATAAAATCATGAGGCGCATAGATAAGGTGAATAGTAAAGGTCTTTTCCCTAGCCTAGGGTAATTGAAAACTAGGGGGCATATTTTTAGGGTGAGAGGAGAAAAGATTTTAAAAAGGACACGAGGGGCAACTTTTTTTGCAGCGTAGTTAATGTGTGGAATGAACTGCCAGACGAAGTTGCAATGTTTAAAAGACATTTGGATAATACACAAATAGGAAAGATTTGGAGAGATATGGGTCAAACACAAGCAGGTGGGACTAGTTTAGTTTGAGAACATGGTCAGCTTCCATGCTGTATGACTATGATTCCAGCACACCCAAAATCAACTTCTGTGAGTTAACTTCAACATCAGAAACCAGACAAGCATCTCATACTCAACTTCTGAATCAAGATCCTTTTTATGTTTTACAGGCCCAGGAAGTGCAAAAACATTTGACCAAACACATTCAGTTTTACAACTCAAGCGAACTTTGAAATTCACCCCATAAGCATTTCACAGCCTCCAACTCAAAACACAAAAGACCAGCTCTTTCGTGCACTCTTCCTACATCAGTCAACATTCAACTGGCACAGTACAAACAACTGTCCGCTTCTCAATTCACTTAATTCAGGCAATAATGGTCTCTTTTTGGTTTTGGATACCCTCTAAAACTATTTGTGTAGATGCCATACTTTTAATAACCCATGACAAAGATAAAAATAGACAATGACATACAAGAGTTTACGGGGAGTACTCAAGAGTGCCATTGCTGAATGTGATTGCAGGAATAACACAAAATGAGACAAAGTAATTTAAGAATTTTTTTAAAATGGCGTGGGGTAAGTTAAGTTATGGGAGATTGTATGGAACAACATCATTGAAAGATCTGTAAAAAAGTGAAAGAAAATTTGGATTAGGGGCCTAATGAAGATCACCCATAACAAGGCAACATTTCACAGACAAGTGGAGCCATTCTTGGTAGAAATGATAGGTCGAATGCGATTGCCTGGAAAACTTAGCAGGTCTAGCAGTATCTGAAGAGAAATCAGAGTTAACTGTTCTGGGGAAGGGTCACTCCACCCATAACGTTAACTCTGATTTCTCTCCACCAATACTGCCGGACCTGCTCAGGTCTTCCAGCAATTTCAGTGTTTCAGCATCTGGAGTTTTTTTTGGTTTTTATTAAATAATACGATTCATATAAAACTGGAACCTTAAAAGACACAGAAGTTCCTTTGACGCTTTACATTGGTTTCAAAACTTCCAGTTTGCAGGTTCCAGCCACGTCCTCTTTACCATGGACAGGACATGCAACCCTTCTTGCTGGAGCAGGGACCTGAACCGTCCACACCCACCACCACCTTCCTCCCCTTGGCCGAGCTCGTCCTCAGCCTCAACAACTTCTCTTTCAACTCCTCTCACTTTCTTCAGGTCAGAGGGGTGGCCATGGGCCCCTTCATGGGACCTAGTTTTGCCTGTCTCTTCGTGAAGCAAGTGGAACATCCCTTGTTCTAGTCCTATTCTGACCCCCACAACTCTTTCTCTAATATAATCAATGGTATCATCAGTTCTGCTTCCCTCCCTTGTCGGGAATCGGAAAAATTCATTGATTACGCTTCCAATTTCCACCCTGCCCTCACTTTCACCTGGTCTATCTCTGACTCCTCCCTTCCTCGACATCTGTTTCCATTTCTGGGGATAGACTGGTCACTAATATCCTCTATAAACCCATGGCTTCCACAGCTACCTGGACTATACATCCTCGCACCCTGCTTCCTGTAAAGACTCCCTCCCATTCTCTCAGTCTCCATCGTATATGTTCAGATCAGGCGAACTTCGACAAGGGAGCCTCCGAAATGTCCACCTTCTTCCTCAAGCCAGGATTCCCCAGCACTGCTGTTGACAGGCCCCTCAATTGGGTCCAACCCATCTCCCACACTTCCGTCCTCACCCCTTCTCTTTCCTCCCGCAACAGCAATAGGGCTTCCCTTGTCCTTACACACCAGCCCACCAGCATCCACATCCAAAAGATCAAATGCCATTTCCACCACCTCCAGACATATATTCCACTCCCTCCCCTTGTCCGGCTTTCGCAGGGACTTTTCCCTCTGCGACACCCTAGTCCACTCTTCCTTCACCCAGAACACCACCCCCCCCACCCCGCCACAGCCCCATGCACCTTCCCCTGCAATCGGTGAAGGTTCAACACTTGCCTATTTACCTGTTACCTCCCTAGTATCCAAGGACCCAAACATACCTTCCAGGTGAAGCAACACTTTCACCTGTACTTCCCAGAATCTAGTCTACTGCATTCACAGCTCACGTGTGGTCTCCTCTACACTGGAGAAACAAAGTGTAGACAGGGTGACTGCTTCCCATGTTCTGCTTGCAAAAATGACCTTGAGCTACTTGTTGCCTGCCACTTTACCACACCAAGGTGCAGAGCTGGATGAACACAGCAGGCTAAGCAGCATCATAGGAGCAGAAAGGCTGACGTTTCAGGCCTAGACCCTTCATCAGAAAGGGTCTAGGCCCGAAACGTCAGCCCTTCTGCTCAGCCTGCTGTGTTCATCCAGCTCTGCACCTTGTTGTCTCGGATTCTCCGGCATCTGCAGTTCCTACTATCTCTGATTCAACTTTACCACACCACCCTGTTCCCAGGCCAACATCTGTGTCTCTGGCTTGCTGCAGTCTTCCAGTGAAGCTCAACGCAAGCTGGAAGTACAACACCACATTTTCCACTTGGGGACCCTGCAGCCCTCCAGACTCTATTCTGACTTCAATAATTTTAGGGCCTAACTCTCCCATGTTCTAGCCCCCTACTCCACACACCAGGCCTTGTTATCACATAGCCTGCCATTACACACTACCTATTGTTAGTCACTAACAGTCTCCATTAACAACTACTCACCCTCCTAGCCAGATCGTTATCACCTCCTTTGTCTATCCAAGTGCTTTTCTCTCTCTCTTTAGGCGCTACCCTCTCGTTTACTCCCTACCCCCATCCCCCTCCCTATTTTCTGCATATAAACCGACCTTTTCCCAGGTACCATCAGTTCTGATGAAGGGTCACCAGACCCGAAACGTTAACTTTGATGTCTTCTTCATAGATGCTGCCAGACCTACTGAGCTTTTCCAGCGACTTCTGTTTTTGTTCCCGATTTACAGCATCCGCAGTTCTTTCGCTTTTTTTACGGAAGTTTCACCGTTGGCCAAACGAAACAAACATACTCCATACAAGATAATGTCGCGGTGAGGCCTATCTCTTTCTAGCTCCTTGCCAAACAGAAGTTTCCACCCAGTATACTTACCGCTGTCAATTTTGAAACGCTCATATTTGGCTTTCAGGTTAGTTATATCCGCATCTTTATCGGCGATCAGCTTCTCGAGTTTGGCCACGGTAATTTTGGGGAGTTTGGCAAGCTCACTACGATCGAACAACTGCTGCAATACAGCCGCCGCCATATTACCGTCTGCGCCAACAACCACCTCTCATCCGCAAACCTAACAAGCTGCTTGTGTGACGTAAAAGTATGTCAAGCTGCGCGCTACCCTCTGGGAGATATAGTCCCATACTGTCCTACTTCCCCCGGGTTTCTCGAGAAAGAAAACTACAAAAACCAGTAGGCACGGTGGTGTCTTTGTAATGCTTACTTTCCCTTCTCACCTTCCTGTTACATTTAAGAGATAAGGAGCGCGGGAAAACCCTAAAGAGCTAAGTATGTACTGGGGTTAGCAGAAATAGAGCAGTAATTCCGGGAGTTTTTTTTTTGTTGTTGTTGGCGCTCGCACTGCAATATTAAATTGTATTTTGAATGACCCATAGTTCTGGAGGATGTGTTGCCTATCTAAAAACAGGATAATGGATATCTCAATCTTGGTGAGGAAGCACATGGAAAGAAGTTTGAAGAAAAGTGATGCTGGACTTAATGTTAACCTGTTTCTCTACAGATACTCGGTTTGGGGCTTATTTCAGAATTCTTGGACTACGAGAGTGACATTCGTAATGTGGCTAGACAGAATAATCACTTTGTCTGTAAATTCTTCCAATATATTTGATTGCAGGCACGTGGAGAAGGAGAGATTCGCGGTCAGGTATTCTGTATAATGCAATGGCAAAATGCTGCAGAATTCCGTGACAGACCACTTTTGATGCTGAGGAAGGGTCACCAGACCCGAAACGTTAACTCTGTTTTCTCCACAGATGCTGCCAGACCTGCTGAGCTTTTCCAGTAACTTTGTTTTTGTTCCTGATTTACAGCATCCGCAGTTCTTTTGGTTTTCACTTTTTTGTGTGTGTGGACGTGAACCAATCCAATGGAGGTCTGAACGTTTTCTTGGAAAATGAGTATGGAAGGAAAGATAAATTGACAAGCTTGATTGATTTATTATAAACTGGTTGTTCAAGTGGCTATTAACTTACTTGGGATTTTGCAGCCAGTGCTGCCCAATCCTGAATTGCATCCAAAAGTGGATATTTTATTAGAGATAACAAGGTGTAGAGCCGGATGA